AGGGTAAAACGTGAATAGTTGGTATACCCTTTATCTGTTTTCTGTAACATTTAGAAGATTATTGTGAAAAGCTTATAATACTGGTATGTGTAACTACTGCATTATTGATTGTTTCTGATTTGTCCTTTAATTACGTTCCTTTATCTTCATGGTATTTCTAAGCATGTAAAAGTGATGCCGGCAGCTGCTGTCGGGACAGACATTAATAATTAACCTCCTGACGAAACTCTACCGATGGTTTTCAAAATTTCTTATATATTTTGATCCCATTTTTGTATGATTTAAAAACAGGGCAGTTTTCTATGGATATAAGAAATTCGCTTTTAATCTGAACTGACCTACCTCTGTCAAATCGGACACTCTTGTCTGCCTGACAAATTTTGCAAAGGAGAGCTGTAGAATGGGTTCTGATTTAATTTCACCGGTCACTGAAATCTTCGAAAGTACCCGTATGTCTGCTGATGACGTGTCTGTCGCAATTAACCTACCTGAAGCGGAGATAGGATCAAGATGCACCACGAGAACAGCCAATCAAAACGCATAACTAAAACTACCAATCATATCCCGGCCTCGTTCTCGCATATGACACAGTTTCGACAAATCCTCAGCAGTCGACCTCCGACTCTTGAGCCATTCACACGCATGCCGTGCAGCCCGTATCCTTTTTGTTGTGGAGGAGAACTCCTTAACAAGATACAGCATCTTAGACTGAACGGTGATTCTAGATACCCACCCTACTTTACACAAGCGAGACACATGTGATCAAGCATGATACTATAAAGCCGAGATGGCTCGTATCATTCACAATGGCGAGACACCATTGATGAAAACTCACTAAACAAAGGCGAGACACCTTTGCTTACCAACCCCCTACGTCCCTGAATTTTTCTTTTTTTTTTTCATCTCGGACTCTGCAGCTGATGAAGGTCACTTGTTGACCGAAAAGCGCTTTTTGCAACCAGTCCACCCTCCCCCTTCCCTCGACAGGCGAGACGCCTCTATCGTGCCAATCACGAAATGCCCTTTTCAGGGCACCCTATATATATCAGAGGCTATAAATCTCATACTATGTAGGTGAGACACCTACCTTCCTATCAGAGACAATCGCTGCTTGTAAGTGCCAGATTCCCTGTTTTATATAAACAAGGTGTAAGTACAGATTCCTTGTTTTAGCTATAACAGTTATGAGTAGTTTTTCATTACTTGTGTGAGTAGCGCGCTTATTTGAATGCTACTGGGTCATAACGCTACAAGAATCCGTACAAGAAGGGTCTCTCCTGCAGCTAACCGTATTTCCCAACGTAGTATAGTGTATTGTAACAGTTCAAAGGGAGAAATCATAATGTAAGTGTTTATACTATCAAGTGTGTATTTATAAGTTTTCTGTATAAATTATAAAGGTGAAAAAATAGGTATATAAGAGCGCATTCTCAACGAATTAAGCCAGGCTTTACAAAGCCGGTGACCTAAAAATGGCGGACGTACATGAAAGAAAAACCGCCTAATCTTTTAATAGTCTCACACGCCTCCCCACACGTCGTCCCTGCGGGGTACAGTAATTAAATCTCGGCTCCGTTCGCCATGCGGAAGCTACCTGAGAAATATTAAGTGCGCATGCTCATCAGTTAAACTCGTGGTGAAGAAAGCATGGCGGCTGAAAGGCGATCGAAGGAAAAAAGCTCTTCTGTTCTATTATCTTTGAAAGCAGAGACGAAAAAGGTATAATTTGGCCCGTAGAGCAGCAATGAATCGACTATCTACGGAGATAATATCACCAGAGATATTCACGGAAATATTAATGTTCGGAGCCGAGATTTAATTACTGTACCCCGCAGGGTATGGGCGGCCAAAAGGGCAAAAAATCATGAATATATACCCATTTCTTATAGAAAAAAAATCATGTCGTCGATTCAGTTATGTTTCGTCGATTCACTGCCTTCCCATCGATTCAGTTTCAAGTTTAAACGATCCTGTCATAAATTCAACATCTACTTTCGTCAATTCAACTGTCAAACATTTCTCATCTACGGTGTATTAAAACCAATGCTATCACTATTTTGTCCATATGTGGCAAATCAATTTGAAAAATGAAAATCATTTTTACAAGAAGGTATATATACCTGAGCCAACAGGAACCAACAAATTCTCTGAATTTAAGAGGAATGAAGATTGGCAGAGGGTGACTGTCCTCTCAGCTAATGGCTTATTCTTTCTGCCTTTCTGCAAACAGAGCTGGCAATTCGCTGACGCTCTCCACCACAGCCCCAAATTAATTCTGTGGTTTGGACATACAGTGAAATATTCGACTGGCACATTAAATAAACCAGCTCTGGCTTTAATTAAGTCAGCTTCACTTGAAATGTCACGGATATGATGCCTCCGGCAATGAGATACAATTGGTTTACAACAGACATTAAGCGGCAAAATATAATTTGGATCAGCCTTTGAATTTGGTCCACACTGATGCAGTTGCATTTGACCTTGGAGTCCAATAGAGCAGCACCAGTTATTATCATCTATATTAAAAATAAGAATAATAACTTGGTTGATAATGACATATAGTCATTGGTTTTTTAATAAATATATTCTTTGAGTATGACAAACATGTAGATTATGAATATGACATTTGTAAGTTGCAAAAGAGAATATTACAGCATATTAGGAAGATAATTCATATTCCCAAACAAAGAAAATATCAATTTCAAGTTTATATTTATGTAAACACATTTATTTAATCATTTACCTGTTTTGTTTTCCATTTTCTTTGAAGTAATTGTATGCAGACGATCTGTTTTGTTTACATTCTATCACTTCCTGTTTCACTTCAGTCCTCCTTTCTCATAAGAAATGTAACGCTTTCCGGTCTCCATGTGCAGGAGAGCAACTCCACATGGGCAAAAATGCCAACATTGCATAGATATGAACTGGTGTAACTTTTTGGTTCTTCAATTGCTACGCGTTTTTATTTGAGTTTATGTTATAACTAAATGTGCACTACCTGAGGATATTAGTGGTTTTTATGGATAAATCTGCGATTTTGAAATAAGGTTGTTTAAAATGTGCATGTTTTGACTTATAAAAATACATCAATTTGCAGGTAAATATTTAAGAAAAAAAATATTCTAATGGCAATCTATTTCATTCCTTATATTACAATTATAAATTTTATTTATAGGTATTCCCCCTTTTCCATTTTAGTATTATATAGTCGATAAGTCCATTTAAAGCTCTATGTAAAAAAATGGCCCTGAAAATGCCTGTTGCCATGGCAACAGACACTTATTCGAAGTTTTACCTGTATTTTCTATTTCNTTTTTCTTAAATGGTCATCATGGGAGCAGTGCCCAAAATAGTTTTTTTTTTCAAATTTTGATGCAATATTACATAATGTTTAACAGTTTTGTTTGAGTTAAATTATATTGTGACTAGTAAAACGTGTTTAGGTTTATCGGTTCTTTAAAGCATCTGCAGTAGAATTAAGATATAAGGTACCTCACTTAAAGAAATAATCTCAATGCAAAGACTTTTCAGATAATTTTTTCTCATCATAATCATCAGTCATTTCTTGCCAGCTGAATTGTCATCTGAATACTAGGAAACTGAAAGCCTTCGATGTTGAATAACTCGAAATTAAATGGGTATAATCATTTGTAGTGAAGGGTATTCCAGGCAATTCTATTTATATTCGTTCAATATGCAATCAATTGCAGATACTGAAAAAGGCTGACCCTCAGCTGGAGTAAATAGCTACCCCCAATCTTTATCATGAATGGCAAGTTTTACCATACATTAAATGCTATATAGGCAGGCCTGCAATATATGCTTACATATGTATTAGAATAATTACTCATACGGTATGTCAGGTAAAATCGTGTTTCAGCTAGGTGACCCGATGTTAAAAATCCAATAAGAGAAATAGCGCAAGCTACCGATATTAAAGGGATAATAACTCCTCGTTTTGGCCAAAAAATACATTTTCCTGGAGTAAACAACAATCCCATACTTACCAATGGTTAATGAATCCATTTTTACATTCAAAGTTAGTCCCTGTTTTTTTTCTAAAAAGTTTGTTTTTTGTTATCATCTCTTAAGAGATTATAACAGAGTATAGCCATCAGTGGAGGCCACGTAATCTAAAGACAAGCTCAGATATCAGAATAATAGCTATAACTGCCGTTTTTATGGTAAAACGGAACATATTATATTTCTATGAGTTATTCACAATGTTTTTATTGTGAAATATAGATCTCATACGAAGAGTTATTATCCCTTTAAAGTTATGCTTAGCAATGTTTTATAAGATTATTGAATATTAACCTTTTGAGAGAGAAAAAACTGCGGTAGTATTGGGATCGTCGGTCGGAAAATATAAACTATAGACATTTTGATTTCGTTTACTTTTTTCTGTTTCAGTTGCGGTTGGATGAGACACGTGAAAGACATTTCATTTTGGTGATTTTAAAATTTTGTGTGATACTATTGTGGTATTTTCACTTCAAAGAATGCCATAAAGCAAATTGAATGCCAACTACTCCCAAACGATTTTTAGTATTTCAATATTGCCTTTTTATATTGCTTGGCAACATGTATTGCAATGATAGTAATTATATGCCCCGTTAAAATGACATCTGCCAAAATCCACTGTAGATTGTTAAGGAGCTGGTAACGTCATCCCAGTAGACACGTGCGCGTATGATACTGTCACGTAAGCTCGAGTCTCTCTTATTTATTTATTTATTTATTTATTATTGTTATTATTATTTATTTATTTATTTATTTTATTATTATTATTTTGTGTGTGGGGGGGGGGGGGCACGTGGTATGCGCTTTTAATAATTGATTCGATTTTTAATTCTAAGTATTGCAATTGTCCCAATCTTTTTTGGCGTCGCGGTTTCTGTTACTTTTATACTCGCGTATCAAATCAAAATATATAAAACCATAACTCACAGATCAGATACAATATAATTTATTTACAAGCATTTATATACAAATCGCACAACTTATTTTTAAAATAGTTTGGAATAACCGTATTCAAAATATTCTCATAAATATATAATTATATACCCCGATCCCAACGGAACTAGACAATATCACATCGGCATCGTTGAACTTGCCATATCAATCCACGTGTTTTTGCTTGTTTTATAAAAATATGCCGGTAATGTTTTTGCAACACATTTTAATGGCCTAAGCACATGTTCTGATTAAAAGAAATTCCTTCGGCTCTGACGTAGTATAATTTGTCCGATTGGTGCGTAATAATTTATCATATCACCACAACGTGTTCCATGAAAACATTCTCTATCCACAAGCCCAAACCAGCATCACATTCCCTCTAATGAAATAATAAATGACTGGTAGTTCAAGCTTTTATCATCTGTTTTGGCACTGCTTTTCCCGCTATGGACGGAGAAGACTGGTCTTGGTTGGCTAGAGTTGTTTTAGATTTCTGGTGCATGTACTCCGCCATTCCTGGCAGACGAGAGAAGTAGTTCCGAGCCAAAGTGTGCTTGTGCTTAACCTTGTGGATTAAGACTTGACCGTAACCCTGATGAAAAGAAAAATGTTATGTTTTTTTTTTTTTCGTCAAAGAATAATAAATATTTGAACCAATCGACTTATTCTATAAAAACGCAAATAAATCTATTAATGAAGCACATTCCAGTTCTTGTAACTCCACTTAAAAATCGTAAATACAATCAGTCACTTACAGAACCACAGTATTTAGTTTTTTCATGTAACACTTAATTGTAAGCGATCTCTAATTTCTGCCTTAACTCAAACAAAATACATAATATTATCCTCAGACATCGTGTATTTCAATGTACTGGCCATAGAAATAATTCTTTATCTTAAAAAAATCTGAAGTCAAAGTTCTAACCACCCACCTCCTCCAGGTTTTCCAGTTTCATATGAGCGGACGCCTCGTCCTTGGTCAGGAGGACGCAGTTCCAGGGGGCCCACTCTTCAAACTTGTCCCAGCGGCACAGCACCAGGTCGTAGAGGTCCTCCCAGGCACTAAGGACGCTCTGGCTGTTCCAGACGTTCTCGATCAAGTAACGCAAGTCACTCTCCTAGAAAGATAAGACGGGAATATAGAATTCATGGCAAACGCTGTTCTCCTACGCAGTGCTCGTACGCAGTCGTTATTTTGCGTTCAAGATTCCTAAACAAAGAATCATGGATACTTAGTAATATGAACCCCAATTTTAAATCAAATGAAGACTAAGCCATACAAAGTAAAGTGCTACATGAACACGTACACTTTTCGTTTAAAGAAAGAATCCAGATTTTGTGCAAGGTCCAGATTAACAACGCTGACAGCAACATATCATAAAATTGCCTAAAGAAGTGCCTATGGAATATGTAAAGGGTATACAAAATGTAGAGAGTAGAAATCCATGGATATACCTTTTAGCTGCAACGTTAACATTTCACTTACTTGTAACAAGAACGCAATCTTGGCGCCATCTTGGAACTGTTCTTCCGAGCGACGCAGCGTCTTGAGCATGAAGCGGTAATGGCTAAGGTCTTGCCGGACGCGGGCGTCGTTGTCGATCTTCATGCAGTTGCGACACTTGCCAACGGTCCGAGAGTTGGACGAAAGCTGGAATTCTGTGGACGGAAGATAGCTGTTGCAGCTTCGGCAGTAGTAGATGTTCTTGCGAAGTGTGGACGGATCCTGTGGGACCTGCAAATAAATATATTGATAAAAAATTTAAAGATAGGTAAAATAAAATGAATATTGTTATAAGGAAATGACAAAATGAATAAATTTTCAATTAAATAAACTATTGATTATATATATTAGCTAAATCCGCATCACTTAAGACTTCTTTTTTCAACCACTCTGAAGGTGAAATAAACATCTTTTTCTTACACAAAAGTAAGCCTTTAATAAGTTTAAAAATTGAAAATATATCTGCACTTACAGTAAACCTTTTGTCTCCAAACAGACTAAAGACACAGACACGACCAAATCAAATGCAAAAAAAATGCAAGCTTAAAAATCATGATTATCTGACGGTAGATAAGGTATACAGGAGTCTGGATGTGATGTTGTACATTTTCACAAAGTTAACAAAATAATCTAAAGACCCCGTACCTTGAGTAACCTGGCGGCCTCTGGGTTAAATGTCGGTGTCTTGATGTACTGTAGGAATAAGGTAGAGATTCTTTTCCTAAGTCCCTCCAGGTTGTTTTCCTTCACTCCTCTCATCAAAAGATCTGCCTCTCTGTCTATGAGCTCTATGATCTCCTGGGTGAGCTTACAGTCGTGTTCCTAGAACAATAAATAAATAAATAAATATTTTGAAAAATTAAAATAAAAATTTTTAGAGAAAAAAGGGGACTAACCATGAATGTCGGAATGGATTCATTGGCAAATAATTATGGGAAAATTGTACCGTTTACCTCAGGAAAATCCATTTTTTGCCCAAAAAACAGCTACAGTAGTATTCCTTTAAGATATTACTGAAAACAGCTAATGGGTACGCTATATAGGTATGATGCCATAAAATAATAATAATTATTATTATAATTATTATTATTATTATTTCTTTTTATGATACATTCTATAAAACCTCAATCCTGCTGCTCTCACCTTTACTGTATGTTTCAGAGTAAGTAACACGTCCAGTCTCTCGTCTTGTGTTAAATACTTCATATTGATACTGTTATAGATATCCTTCAGCTCCTGTGCTCTAATGGTGAATGGGGTGTCCATTTCCGTGTACTTTCCATCACCGCTCTTCCATCTCTTGGGAGCTGCAGCCTGAAATTATTGTCATTGGCATTAATTATTGAAAAAATATCACATATCTCAAAGAAAATTTTGTTCTTAACCTTCACTTTAAAAATCATAAATAATTAATACAAAGAAAATTTCTATTCTTGACCATGTATTTGTTTGAAAACATTTTTATGTTCAAAGCTTGGAACTTTATTTGTTGATTTGTTTAACATTTACAAAAATTGGTATTTATCATCTAAATAGATGCGTGGGATAATGTAATCAGTCTTAAAACTGGTCTCATAAAGACAAATGAATGGGCTTGTTTATTTTAAACACACTCAATCAGAAAAATGTTATCAATTATCCATTAAGCAGTGGAAAATAAAAGAGAGCTCACCTTTTCTAAGAATTTCTCAATATTTTTGGACTTGTTATCGGAGTCGGCCTCCAGTTTGTGTCTTCCTATAGAAGCTATGAGTTGTGTCTCCTGCTCCAAGAGTTGACAGAGGGCAGCTTTCCTCTCTGCTCCTGACAAACTGGAGTTGATTCTGTCCAGTTCCTCTTGCCGCCATTCTAAAAGTTAACATTGGATCAAATTTGAAAATTTTAATCATAATTATTATGTCAAAAAGAAAAAAACTGCTGCTTGTGTGAAACTGGAGTTTTAACTTTTCAACTCTTTGTGTTTCTGTTTTTCTATTATATAAGCAAATATATTTTCATAAATGTAGCCAAAATTTTCCTTTTTTTTAGATCCAATCTCTTATTTTTCTATATTCACTTCAAAAACAAATAAAAAAATACTTTAAAAATATTATGCTGTCTATAACTGCATAAATGAAAACCATAACACAGAAATAAAAAATAAAATGAATCATAAGAGCTTCCAAGTTAAAACAACATCACAATTTTTCTTGATAATGATTGCAGCCATTAATTCTATGACCCATCTCAACACAATCTAGCAATAAGTAGTGTACACTCACGTTCCAAAGCATGATATAATAAATCAAAATCTTCCTTTGATTTGGGATTCATCCTCCTTTCAAATTCTCTCTTAATTCTATCCTCTTTTTCCTTTTTCTTCCTTATTTCTTCCTTCCTTTCCCACTCCAACCTCATCCTCCTGTCCTCGCGCACACTCTGGACATAACGCTTGGCCAGCCACCGCCTGTAGTACTTCTGGATTATAATCACCTGAAAACAGAATCCAATAGACTCATGAAAATGTAATTTTTTTTCCTCACCACAATCACATTCTACAGCTTATAAAATACCTCAGTTCATAATAAGAGCCAATGATTATTCTAATACATATGCAAACAAGAGCAAAAACTTCTCAAATTTTCCCTGTTGTTAATTTTTTAAGTGTACTTCTCATTATGACCACATTTTGTACTACCCCCCCCCCCCAATCTATCCAAAATAAAAAATAAAATAAATAAATAACAATAATGGAAAAAATCTTATCTCTTAAAGATACCAGTACCATACCTTCTGTAGGATCATAGCATGGTGCTGATCTGCAGTGGTGTATTTCCCTGGCACCAACAGCTTGTCTGTCATATTGGACACAAAAACCCCAATCTTGGTCATCTGTGTTGACGTGTCTTCTGTGGTCTGCATGCGCATGTTTTGCTGCTGTACTGTCTGTGTATCGCGGCAGAACTTCTGCACGCCAGACTCGGGTGGTCTCTTCTGCATGGTCTGAGCGGAGGCGTGATGGTACTCCACCATGGTCTTCTTGTGTTTGTAACCGCCCAGGAATGGCTTCTTGGAAGTGGTCCTCTCAATTTCCACCACTACATCTCTGTAGTCCTTGCCATCCTCTGAAGTCACAATTTCTTACATTATCTTTCATGAATTTGTAAACATGCTCAATATATATGCCAAGAAAACATTTTTTCAACAGCATGAATAAATAATGAAGGTATTCTAATATTTCTCATAAAAATATACACAAGTTTTTTTTTTCAAATCATAAAAAAATTATTTCTATAAAAGTACAAAAGAGTTCATTGCATGAGAGATGAATCCATATGTTTGTCTTCATTTCTCACACCTACTGAAATCAACTGTGAAAACATTTAAAAGAAAACAATAAATAAAGTAAAAATAATAANTGGTGTTGGCTGAAGGCAGATTTTTTATCACGTTTTTTGATGGACTTTTGATTTTCAGTGATTCTTTCTGTTAAGGAACGTCCTGTCTCTCCTATGTATTTTTATCCACACACCTGACATTCACACTGGTATACAACTCCACACTGTTCTCCTGGGTCTAATTTGTCCTTTGGGGATACTAGGATGCCTCTTAATGTCTGTCCTGCCTTATGGTGTAAAACTACATTCCTTTTTCTGAATGCTCTTTTTAGCTTTTCACTAACCCCTTTCAAGTAAGGTAGTACCGCATGAAAGGGGTTAATGAAAAGCTAAGATCAGACAAATATAAGTAGCTATAGACAAAAGAATCCTCACGGAAAGCAGTTTCATACTACTATAAGGAAGAGCATTGAATATCAGCTGGAGGAATCGTATTCCTTACACAGAGGAGTCCACATCACTGCCTTAATATGGCTGCGTATAGACCAGCCAATCTCCAAGCTTATACAGGTAGTAAGAAAAACAAGTCATGCATACGTGCCTGGCAACTCGTTTTCCTGGAATAATGTTGTGCCGGTGCAAAATGATAAATGTCAAAGAGAGCTACATCAAAGTGCTAATGAAACGACGGCCTTATATATATATCATGCGGGTAGGGTAGCGCAAGGAGATGAACAGAAGGATTACGCAAACATAGTTCAAATTCACGTCTAGATCGATTCTACGGCTCTGCTATTTTGTGACAAGTTAGAATAAACTGTGTATCTTGTCTTATAAGTTGACAATGTGGAACTTTCCTCTCCTCTCCTGATTCATTCCTTATCATAAACGGGCGGATTTAGGCCATCTTCTGGGTCTTCCAGAAGACGGTCAGATTTTCAAGTTTACATTGACGGGTATCTCATTTTTTCTGCCAGAAGACGGTCAAAAAATGGAGGATGGATCAACAAAGATAATTTGAAAGACTGTCCGAAAATATCTCTAGCATTAGATTCACGTAAGATAAGAAATCAGTGTATATACGATCAGATTGATACCTGAGGAAGGAAGAGGGGAAGAGGAGAGAAGGGGATTGAGAGGGACGGAGACGGGCGTTGTTTCGGAGGCTTAAGTCGAAAACGCAGTGTCCTATTATACGAGCTCACGCTTGGAATAAGCATACAAAAATTATATGAGGCTAGGACATTCATTGTATGAAAGGTTCGTTACAAGGTAATCCTGGCATGGGAAACTACATGTACTGCATTTTGGTTGTTTCTGGTTTGTCTTTTATCTATCGTCCTTAGTCTTCATGGTATATCTTAACATGTAAAAGTGATGCTTGTAGCTGTCGGGGTAGACATTAATAACCTTCTGACGAAACCTTACCAATGGTTTTCGTAATTTTTTTATATATTTTAATCCCGTTTTTGTGTGATTTAAACAGGGCAGTTTCCTACGTAGATAAGCAAGAAAGTCGCGTTAAATCTGAACTGACCTACCGTACCTACCTCTCTCTTGTCTGCCTTACACATTTTTAAAGGAGCGCTGTTGAAGGAGTTCCGATTTAATTTCACCCGTCACTGAGTACTTCAGAAGTACCAGCATATCTTCTGATGACGTGTCTGTCGCAATGAACCTCTTTGAAGTGCTTACGTTTGTCATTTTAGTCGGAGATCTCTACTGATAGACATCGCTGGTGTAAACATTCATATCAAGTAAGTTTAAAAATGAAATTATTTCTATAAAATATCAGTTGCTCAATTACTTTTTTGGGTAATTACATTTGTTTAGACTGATTCTCAAAACATAGCTCCATTTGAAGAAAACGGACAAGTGAAAAATGAAGTTTTTGATATATTCGCGAGATCTACTTTTCCTAAAAGTATGATGACAAAAAGTGATAAATCTGTGTGTGTGTGTTTGTGTGTGTGTGTGTATGTGTGTGTATGTGTGTGTGCGTGCGTGTGTAAATCATTCAATTTTTATCATCCTTAGCAAGGATTAGTTTGTCCTATTGTAGTTTCCTGTGTTGAGTTGATATCTGATTTCTGTTCAAGTACCGCAAATAGAAAATGAGGTTCTACTTGATGATCGTGGGCCTGTGTCTTGTCTCCATGGCAACAAACATGTAAGCACCATCGCTCGTTTTGAAATCTCTCTCTCCATATTAATTGTAAACCATCGTTCAGTGCCCCGTGAAAGCCGTTGCAATCAATTGTTTCCAACTCTGTTTGACATATGGCCGACAATTTCAAACAGAAACATCCGGTTAACACCAAAATTGTCGTGTTGTATTGGTTTTTGTCTGTTTCATATATTTTCTTTTGACTTTCCCTGCGTACTGAAGAACACATTATGTAATCAGAGATACTTTTCAAAAGAGCTGTTTTACATTGTTGTAGTTATTGTGGTCGTAGGGATGCCAAAAAGCCGACCCTCACAGCAAAGGAAATAGGAACATTGCTTTGCGATATCATTGACTTCAACAACGACGGGATGATCGGCAAACTGGAATGGGCCGCATTTTTGGATGCCGCTGACACCGACCGTAGGTTTTAGGACGTATTTTGTGTTGACGATGGTTAAAAGTAATATAAAATATACTACATATTTCATAAAAGTTGTATATGGTTATCTCCAGATGACATGCAATCGTTTTGTACAAAACTGTCCATTCTGTACTATCCTAATAGTACATCCGAACATAGATTTCATTGAATAATGCGAATCAGAAATATATTATTGACAATGCCTATTATTATTATTTTTTTTCAGATAATGATGAAGTCACGGCAAGCGAATATGTGAGATATTTCATGAAAGCCAGTTCTGTTCTAAAAACAACGTGGATCCATGCGCTCTTCCAACTGGGTGATTTCAATAACGATGGGGTTTTGACCATGGCCGATATAGACCAGATACTCTCACTGGATATCGATGGTAAGCGTGTTTTAATATTTAGAGTTAAGAGCGAACCTCAAATTAATATTTTTTCTGAAACGGAGCAAATGCGTTATGTTACATGTACATACTCTGGGTTGCTATGGTAACGTCACAAAGTGATGCTGGCGATTATGTTTTCTAATTCAGGTGATGGATTCGTAAGCGACGAGGAATGTATTCAAGCATGTGCAAAGGTAAACCTGATTACAAAGATGCTTTCATTATTATGCACACTATAAGAAATTTTGTTTGAGAAATTCATATTGAATACTGCGATAAATAAAATGTGCTTATTTGTTCTTGAAGGTATCTGCAGTAGGAATTTCATACCTCACCAAAATGTTAAGAAAATCCTCGATGAAAAAAAAAATTCAGATAATTTTTTCCCTTAATAATCACCAGCCATTAATTGTAAGGAAATTCTATTCGTAATTGATGCTACGCATTCAATATTCAATCAATTGCAGATTTTGAAAAAGTTTGACCCCAAGCTGGAGTAAATAGCTAACCCCAATCTTTATCATAAATGGTAAGTTCTACCATACAATACATGGGATATAGGCAGGCCTGCAATATATGATTTCATATGTATTAGAATAATTACTCGAGCAGTATGTCAGGTAAAATCGTGTCTTAGCTAGGTGACCCCCTGTTAAAAATCCAATAAGACAAATAGCGCAAGCTAACTATATTAAAGGGATTATAATATAACTCTTCCTTTTGGCCAAAAAAAATGAATTTTCCTGGAGTAAACAACAATTTTCCCATATTTACCAATGGTTAATGAATCCATTTTTTCATTCAAAGTTAGTAACTGTTTTTTTTTTTTCTAAAAAGTTTTTTTTTTTTTTTTTGTTATAATCTCTTAACAGAGTATAGCCATCAATGGAGGTGACGTAATCTAAAGACAAGCTCAGATATCAGAGTAATAGCAATAACTGCCTTTTTTTATGGAAAAATAGAACACGTTATATTTCTATGAGTTTTTCACAATGTTTATATATATATATATATATATATATATATATATATATATATATATATATATATATATATATATATATATCATACGGAGAGTTATTATCCCTTTTAAGTTTTGCTTAGCAATGTTTCAGAAGATTATTGAATATTAACCTTTTCAGAGAGAAAAAACTGGGGTAATATTGGGATCGTCGGTCGGGAAATATAAACATTCGTTTACTTTTTTCTATTTCAGTTGCAGTTGGTTAAAGGATGAAAGATGTGAAAGACATTTCATTTTGGTGATTTTAAAATTTTGCGTGATACTATACTGTGGTATTTTTACTTCAAAGAATGTCATAATAAAAATAGAATGCCACACAACTTCCAAATGATTTTTTAGTATTTCAATATTGCCTTTTTATATTACCTGGCAACATGTATTGCAATGATAGCAATTATATGCCCCGTTAAAATGACATCTGCCAAAATCCACTGTAGATTGTTAATGAGCTAGTAACGTCATCCCAGTAGACACGTGCGCGTATGATGCTGTCAAGAGCGAGTCTGTTTTATTTACTTATTATTATTATTATTATTTATTATTATTTTTTTTTTTGGGGGGGGGGGGGGGGCACGTGGTATGCTCTTTTAATAATTGAGTCGATTTTTAATAGTAAGCATTGCAATTGTCCCAATCTTTTTGGCGTCGCAGTTTCTGTTATTCGCGTATCAAATCAATAAAATATATAAAACCAACACTCAAAGATCAGATACAATATAATTTATTTACAAGCAATTATATACAAATCGCACAACTTATTTTAAAAATAGTTTGGAATAACCGTATTCAAAATATTCTCATAAATATTTAATTATATACCCGATCCCAACGGAGCTAGACAATATCACATTGGCATCGTTGAACTTGCCATATGAATCCACGTGTTTTCGCTTGTTTTATAAAAATATGCCGGTAATGGTTTTGCATCACATTTTAATGGTCTAAGCACATGTTCTGATTAAAAAAAAAATCCCTTCGGCTCTGACGTAGTATAATTTGTCCGATTGGTGCGGAATAATTTATCATGACATTGCGGCAATAAATTCCATGAAAACATTCTTTATCCACAAGCCCAAATCACCATCACTGTCCCTTATTAAAATTATAAATGACTGGTAGTTCAAGCTTTTATCATCTGTTTTGGCACTGCTTTTCCCGCTATGGACGGAGAGGACTGGTCTTGGTTGGTTAAAGTTGTTTTAGACTTCTGATGCATGTACTCCGCCATTCCTGGCAGACGAGAGAAATAGTTCCGAGCCAAGGTGTGCTTGTGCTTAACCTTGTGGATTAAGACTTGACCGTAACCCTGATGAAAAGTAGAATTTTATGTGTTATTATTTGTATTTTCGTCACAGAATAATAAATATTTTAAACCAATCGACTTATTCTACAAAAACGCAAATAAATCTATTAATGAAGCAATTTCCACTTCTTGTAACTCCACTTAAAAATCGTAAATACATTCAGTCACTTACAGAACCACAGTATTTAATAATATTTTTCATGTAACACTTAATTGTAAACCATCTCTAATATCTACCTTAACTCACACAAAATACATAATATTATCCTCAGACATCGTGTATTTCAATGTCCTAGCCATAGAAATAATTCTTCATCTTAAAAAAATCTGAAGTCAAAGTTCTAACCACCCACCTCCTCCAGGTTCTCCAGCTTCATATGAGCGGACGCCTCGTCCTTGGTCAGGAGGACGCAGTTCCAGGGGGCCCACTCTGCAAACTTGTCCCAGCGGCACAGCACCAGGTCGTAGAGGTCCTCCCAGGCGCTGAGGACGCTCTGGCTGTTCCAGACGTTCTCGATCAAGTAACGCAAGTCACTCTCCTAGAAAGATAACACGGGAATATGGAGTTCAAAATGATTAACGATGTACTCTTACAACCAACTTCGCTCGCTTCTAAGTACGAACGCAGTCGTTTTTTTTTTTTTTTTTTTTTTTTTTTTTTTTTTTTTGCGTTCAAGATTCCTACATAAACAAGCATGAATACTCAGCAATATCATTATGAACCCCAGTTTTAAATCAAAGTATGACTAAGCTATATAAAATAAAGTGCTACTAGAACACTTACACATCTTAATTTTTCGCTTTAGGAAAGAATTCAGATTTTGTGCAAGGTACAGCATAACAAAGCTGCTAGCAATACACTTTGTTATTAAAATACCAAAAGAAGTGCCAATGAAATGTAAAGTGTATACAAAATGTAAAGAATAGAAATTCCTGGATACCCTTTTAGCTGTGACGTTAGCACTGCGATCAAAGCTTACCTGTAACAAGAACGCAATCTTGGCGCCATCTTGGAACTGTTCTTCCGAGCGACGCAGCGTCTTGAGCATGAAGCGGTAATGGCTGAGATCTTGCCGGACGCGGGCGTCGTTGTCGATCTTCATGCAGTTGCGACATTTGCCAACGGTCCGAGAGTTGGACGACAGCTGGAATTCTGTGGACGGAAGATAACTGTTGCAGCTTCGGCAGTAGTAGATGTTCTTGCGAAGTGTGGACGGATCCTGTGGGACCTGCAAATAAATATATAAATTGAAGATTTTAAAGATAAATAAAAAATAATGGTATAAAGAAATGATGAAATGAATAAATTTTCATTTAAATAAACTATTGATTAAAATATATTAGCGCATTCCGCATCACTCAAACTTCCTCTCTTTTCAACCACTTTCTTATTAAAAAGTAAGCCTTTAATAAATTTTAAATTAAAAATTGAAAATACATCTGCACTTACACTAAACCTTTTGTCTCCAAACAGACTACAGACACTAGACATGTACAAATGCAGGCATAGAAATCACGAATAACTGTCAGTATATATGGTATAAAGGAGTCTGATGCGATGTTATACATTTTCACAAAATTAACAAAATAATCTAAAGACGCCGTACCTTGAGTAACCTGGCGGCCTCTGGGTTAAATGTCGGGGTCTTGATGTACTGTAGGAATAATGTAGAGATTCTCTTCCTAAGTCCCTCCAAGTTGTTTTCCTTCACTCCTCTCATCAAGAGATCTGCCTCTCTGTCTATGAGCTCTATGATCTCCTGGGTTAACTTACAGTCATGTTCCTAGAACAAAAGACCAAACTTTTTATAGAAAAAAAACAGGGGCTAACCATGAATGTCGAAATAGATTCATTGGTAAATATGGAGAAGATTGTACCGTTTACCTCAGGAAAATCCTTTTTTTTTTTTTTGCCAAAATGAACAGCTATAAGATATTACTGAAAACAGCTGATAAGTACAGTATACAGAGTATAATGCGATAAAAAATATAATAATTATTTTAATATTATTATTATTACTTTTTATGGTACATTCTATCAAAATCTCAATCCTGCTGCTCTCACCTTCACTGTATGTTTCAGTGTAAGTAATACGTCCAGCCTCTCATCTTGTGTTAAATACTTCATATTGATACTGTTATAGATATCCTTCAGCTCCTGAGCTCTAATGGTGAACGGGGTGTCCATTTCCGTGTACTTTCCATCACCGCTCTTCCATCTCTTGGGAGCCGCAGCCTGAAATTATTGTCATTGGCTTCAATTATTTTAAAAATATCATATATCTCAAAAAAAATTTGTTCCTAACCTTTATTTAAAAAATTCATACAAAGTCAATTCAAAGAAAACTTCCATTCATGACCATGTATGTGTTTGAAACTATTTTAAAGATCAGAGCTTGGAATTTTATTTGTTGATTTGTTAAACATTAACAAAAATTGGTATTTATCATCTATATAGATGCGTGGGATAAAACAATCTTAAAACTGATCTCATTAAGCCAAATGAATGGGCTTGTTTATTTTAAACACACTCAATCAGAAAAAAATGTTATTAATTATCCATTAAGCAGTGGAAAATAAAAGAGAGCTCACCTTTTCTAAGAATTTCTCAATATTTTTGGACTTGTTATCGGAGTCGGCCTCCAGTTTGTGTCTTCCTATAGAAGCTATGAGTTGTGTCTCCTGCTCCAAGAGCTGACAGAGGGCAGCTTTCCTCTCTGCTCCTGACAAACTGGAGTTGATTCTGTCTAGTTCTTCTTGTCGCCATTCTAAAACATATCATTGTATCAAATTTGAAAAATTTAATCACAAAAAAAAAACAAAAAAAAACAAAAAAAAAATGTTGCTTGTGTGAAACTTTTTGTGTAATTATTATGCAAGCAAATATATTTTCATAAATGTAATCAGAATTAGTTTCCTTTTTTCAAAATCAAATATATTATTTTTTTTCATTTTTAGTGAAAAAACAAAGAAATGTTTCTTAATTAAAAGAGCCCACAAATCTACTGATCACAGTACTATTCTAAATTAAGGATGACATAGAAATCTGTTGTTTGCAACTTTAAATTTTATGGCATGGCTCAACACAATAAAACAATAGTTAAGTGTACACTCACGTTCCAAAGCATGATATAATAAATCAAAATCTTCCTTTGATTTGGGATTCATCCTCCTTTCAAATTCTCTCTTAATTCTATCCTCTTTTTCCTTTTTCTTCCTTATTTCTTCCTTCCTTTCCCACTCCAGTCTCATCCTCCTGTCCTCGCGCACACTCTGGACATAGCGCTTGGCCAGCCACCGTCTGTAGTACTTCTGGATTATGATCACCTGAAAACAGAATCCAATAGACTCATGAAAATGTAATTTTTTTGTCACCACATTGACATTCTTCAGCTTATTAAATACCTCAGTTCATAATAAGAGCCAATGATTATTCTAATGCTGTCCCTATTACATATGCAAACAAGAGCAAAAACTTCTCAAATTTTCCCAGTTATTGATTTTTAAGTGAACTTCTCATTATGACCACATTTTGTACTACCCCTCCCCCCCCCCAATCTATCCAAAATAAAAAATAAAATAAATAAATAACAATAATGGAAAAAATCTTATCTCTTAAAGATACCAGTACCATACCTTTTGTAGGATCATAGCATGGTGCTGATCTGCAGTGGTGTATTTCCCAGGCACCAACAGCTTGTCTGTCATATTGGACACAAACACTCCGATCTTTGTCATCTGTGTGGACGTGTCCTCCGTCGTCTGCATGCGCATGTTTTGCTGCTGTACTGTCTGTGTATCGCGGCAGAACTTCTGCACGCCGGACTCTGGTGGTCTCTTCTGCATGGTCTGAGCAGAGGCGTGGTGGTACTCCACCATGGTTTTCTTGTGTTTGTAACCACCCAAGAATGGCTTCTTGGTTGTGGTCCTTTCAATTTCCACCACAACATCTCTGTAGTCCTTGCCATCCTCTGAAGTCACAATTTCTTACATTATCTTTCATGAATTTGAAAACATACTCAATATATATATGCCAAGAAAACATTTTTTCAACAGAATGAATAAATAATGAAGGTATTCTAATATTTCTCATAAGAATATACCCAAGTTTTTTTTTAAAATCATCAAAGAATGATTTCTATAAAAGTTCAAAAGATTAACTCAAAAGGTTCATTGCATGAGAGATGAATCCATACGTTTGTCTTCATTTCTCACACCTACTGAAATCAACTGTGAAAACATTTAAAAGAAAACAAATAAATAAAGTAAAATAATAAATAAATAAAAATCAATTTAAAAAGGTAGCCATCATTCACCTGTAGGCACCCTGACAGTGATGACGTCAGGCATGTGGTATTCTTGGCGAGGTCTGTAAGGTTTGATGGGGGCGTTTACTGGGTCAGCTGACTGCATCTCCAGCTGTACCGTACCATTAGGACCAACTCCAAGGTCTGCCAGTGTAGTCTTGTCATTCATGTTTTTACCTTAAATGTTTGAAAAAAAAAATAGAGCAATAAAAGCAAGTACTCACAACAAGATTTCCATTTCCTGTACTACCATAAATATTATTGACTTTATCCTATATGAAGAATTAATCAACCTTACCTCATTTTAGTACTTTGGACATTTTGTATTGTTTTCACTTGTATGTTACTAAGTTTTCTAACTGATTGTGACCTCATGGTCTTTGCTTTGTGACATCATAACTATGACATCACAATGGAAAAGATTTTGTCAGTGATGTCAATGCTTAGTAACACTTTCATGTTCACTCTCAATTAATTAAACAATAATAAAAACAAATTTGTATCTCAGATGTTCTTCTTGGCTGTCAATTCAAATGCACCATTCAAAGAGAGGAACAAGGTGTGTTTAACAGTACTGAGAACCCAATAGCAACTGTTTCAAAAGTCGGGACACATATATCATATTTTAGTCACAGGTAACATTTTAGCTTTCTAATTTCTTTGACATTTTTTAAAGACAGGAGATTTTAATGCCTATATGACAAGCACTCACCATCAAACATGAGGAGGATTGTGTTTGCTGGCATCTTCAGTTCTGCTGCAAAATGTGCCTTCAGTTCGGACAGTGTCTGACCTAAAGTACAGGCCAAGGTGGCCACCTGACCACTGGGCATCAGGACAAATTTTACTGGAAATATGGAAAAAAATTTGAAATAATAATTTTGACATTATAGATTTCACACACTTTCAAATATAAAATATCTGCAAATTCAAGAATACCAGTACTCTAATTTTAAAATGTTTTAACGTGTGACAGAAACTTTTATAAAGATATCAATGCACAATATATTTTAAAATAAAATATCCAATAAAACAATTTTCAGAGATATGATTTGTAGGGGGAGGGGGGATCTGAAATTTTAAGTTTTAAAAATAGTTAAAGAAAAAGCAAAGTTTTAAAATAATGGAAATCTGAAAAAAAAGGAAAAATTACATCCCTGAATAGTGTATTTACCTGTGACATTGGCATCCAGGTTAACATGAGGACTGGGGGAGACAGCCTGGGGGTCAACCTCAAACTGGTCCCTCCCCTCCACGGTCTCTGTGCCATGACTCTCTTTCTGGGGTTCAGGGGTGGGGGTGGGGGGCTCTGGACCCTTGGCACCCAGACTGACCTCTGATGCCCCAGCAATACCCTCAGTGTCTGCTGGTTTGCTCTCTCCTTCCTGAGCCGGAGGAGCCAGTTCTGTGGGTTGATCTGCTCGTTCCCCTTCCTCAGCTTTCTGTTCTTCCTCTCCTGCTGCTGCTGTTCCTTCATCGGCTTTTGCAGTCTCCATACCGTCTTCGGCTTTTTCTTCCTCCTGTGCCTCACCCTCTGCTGGCTTATCATCTGCAGGTGTGGCCTCGTCTCCCTCTGGAGCTCCTTCTTTTGGAGCCTCCTCAGGAGCCTCTTCAGCCTGTGGTGCCCCCTCTTCTGCACCCTCCTCTACACCCTCCTGTGTCTCTCCAGCAGCCTCAGTCTCACCCTCAGTAGCCTGAGTGTCTGTGTTTTCTACAACTGCAGTGGGGCTCTCCTCCTCCACTCCCTCACCCTCTGGTTGTTCTTCTGTGGTGGGTGCCTCTGCCGTGTCCTCAGCTTTAACTTCTTCTGATGTCTGCGCAGCATCACCTGTATCTTCCTGGGTTTCTCCTACTTCTTGTTCTGCAGAATTTTCTACTGCAGCCTCTTGTTCCCCTTCTACAGGTGCTGCAGCTTCTTGTTCTCCTTCTGCATTTTCTGTGGCTGCTGCCTGTTCCTGTTCAGTTCCATTTGGCTCTGCTGCAGTTTCTGTTGTTTCTGCAGCAGGGTCTGTCTCTGCTGTTTCTGTGACAGGTGCTGTTTCTTCAGCCTCTGCTGCAGAGGCTGCTTCTGCTGCTTCTGTAGCAGCAGTTTCTTCTGTCTCATTCTGTGTCTCTGGAGCTTGCTCTTCTGCAGGAGCTGGCTGTTGTTCCTCTGTAGCTTCAGGCTGAGCAGTTTCTTCCTGGTCTGCCATGATATTTGTGTTTTTTCTGTGGAAAAAAACATTCTCGTTAAGTAACAATTAACATAATTTAGTTCTAACCACATTCTAACGTCAATAAATCATAAATACAAAAATGAACCTGCAGTTAATAACACCTTGCAATAACAGTGATTTATTTTGCGTGATATATCTGACAGTAATTTCAAATTATAATCTTAATCTTGAATTTAATGTGAAATGTAAAATATTGCAATACAGTACAGGGACTAATCAATAACCTCTCTTGTCTACAGCTGTGGCAATACAACTCTCTTCAAATTCAATTTGGTGACAAAGTGATTTAAAAATCTGTACATGTAGAATTTGTTAGTGTACGCCAACACAGTGTTTTTATCCCTCCTGCAGGCATTATCCCCATACTAATATAATCAGTACCTCAGGCAGTCTTACAAAAACCACGTTGATATAAATAAGAATTAATTTGAAAAAGAGTAAAATCATAGGATTATTGCCAAAATGTCACTGAAATTGGCAAAGATGAACGTGGCTAATCAATGAAAACATGGCAGTCACCATCCAGATATTCGCCTCAATAATTACGATTTTTAATTCAGAATTTGACATTTAAATATCAAAAACATACCCTGACAATCGAGTGTTAATCAAATATATAAATGAAATTATAACATACACAAAAATCATATAAATATAACGATAAACATACCTGTATTTTAACTATACATTCACTCGTCCTTTCCCTGCAGACATTTGCATTCGCGTTGACCTAATTTTTAGCTTATTGTTTACGTGACGTCTCGGTTGCCAGGACACGAGCTCATGGTTATGAACGGAGTTATCTCATTGGCTTAGCTTGGGAACTTGACCAATGACAAAGTCGCTAAGATAAGGGGTTCCCGTATTCTGTCGACAATATTCGGCCATATTCGATTCCGTCCATAACAACAAGAGTCGAAAAGTGCATGTAAGAAAAGTGGATTTTGTAGAGTATATATGCACGTACGCACCATGTGTGCAGAAAAACGATAGAATACGATTAGATTTATATTATTTTACCCATAATTTCCCCTTTGATTGGTTCATCAAGCCGCAAAAACGAAGGTAAGTGGATGCTATCAAAAGTAGATTTGTTTCAAAATGGCTGCCTTAGAACCGAAAAATTAACGCAAGACGTGATATGCATCTATTTATTTCACATATTCACTTGCATTTACAGTGCTAAATCTGCTTGGGTACTGCTTTGTTAAATTTTATTTTTTATTAGACGAGTAAAATACTCATTTTAAAGGTTAAATTAAATAAGGATACGAAAAAATACCATTTAAGATTAGACTACTGAGTAAGTTTTACTCTTAAAAATAAAACTGTGCTATCCGCAAACAACTGAAACTCTCAAATTTTCCAGATGACATCAATCAATGGGCACACAAATGGAATAAACGGACATACACCAAATGGAACTGGTCATGTGAGTAATGGACACAACAGCAGTCGCAGTCGATCCCGAACAGAATGGAGAGGCAAAGGCCCAGACGGGATACCAAGACTGCCTCCGATAGAAAAACCCAGTGTCAGAGATGACCCCTATGCAAACAGCAAACTGATGACATTTCGCATGGCTGATCACAGACAGGAGTTGCTGAAAAGGATTATGTATGTTTAACTGGATTTAAAAACCTGCACTAAGCATTGAGCACATTAGAGGGGCTAACTTTTATATCTGCTTTTAAAGTAATGAACTTTGAAATATTTATTTGTCAGTGCATGACTTAATAATGGGATTTCTTGTTTGCATTCAATTAATTTGCCCTTGATAAAATTCCGAGCAGTGCATGGTTAGTGGTCTTGTAATGAACTAAAGAATATTGTCATAATTATTTCTAGTCAAGACAATGCATACCAAGCCATGGAGGAGACGGCAGAAATCAATGCCAGAACTCCCCCAGGGGACCAGCTACCAGACTACCCTGCTGAGGTGAGTGCATTATTTTTGTACCTTACTCAAAGGCTGAAACTAAATTGGTATGAAATACAGACAGGGCAGGTGAGGGCTGGAGGAGGGGTTAAAATCATCTAATTATATAAAAATATAAGTACCTGTTAGAATAATTCCAACATTTCAAAATGCTGTAGCCAGAGAATTTTTTAAAGAACTGCTTTTTCACTTCTGTACATGCCTACACGTTCCTGGGCACATTAAACTTTGAGTTTTCATAACCTGTGTAATAAATTTTATATTGTTTCAACCTGTCCCAGCAGCATTTTATATAATTTACATCCTTTTTTCTTTCCTTCTTTTTTTCCTTTTTGCCCAACATGTAGATGATGAGTAAGGACAGGAGAGTTAGGGTAAGTTAACAGAATTCATTTAAAATGATTTATCCATGAATTCTATGACAAAAAACTTTGAAAATTTTTTTCCTATGGAATACATACAAAAGAAAATTATTCAGATTTTTATTTTGTATTGATTAGTTTAAAAAAATCAGATAAAAAAAAGTTAAATTGTCAACAAAAATGATGTTATGAGTCTTTTTTTCTGAGTTTATATGATATTTCAAGTTTTTTCTATTCATCTTTGTTCAGATCAACTATCAGTTCATGAAGAAGTGCGTTGAGAGTGCCCCTGCCACCCCTATACAACAGCAGTGGTTTGACAACATACTGACCATGATCCCTGACCACCTGAAGAAACTGCCCGGCATGAAATACGTGGTCAAGGAGACCTTTGAAGAGGTCAAGGTCAACTTTGAAAACAGCATGAAAATGTCACGAGGTAGGGCCATGGTGGTGGTGGCTAGTACATTGATACATGTTTGTTGGACCATTCTGACATGTGAATAGAAATACCAACACCAGAAATATTTTCTCTATCATTTTATCATTGGTTTGACTTGAAATTCAGAGTTGATGGTAAAAAAGATTACCTAAAGCAAGAATTTCAAAGTGCTTTTGACCGTCATATGAACTAACATTTACTATATATCTTTTATTTACTATCTTTTGTCAGTTAGATAAACAACATGACAAGTTCAGAAATAATTTATCCATAATATACTTTGGCTTTCAAATACCATAGTTAATGTTGTGAATATTTTTTGATGAAATATTTTTATATTCCAGTTCAACTAGCCTTGGTCAAGCCAGCAGTGAAAGGTCTGGAGGGGGAGGATGTTGGTGGAATGCCAGAGGAACCCACGTAAGACACTCTTCTTTTTTCCTGGATTCACTCAGCAAGATTAAAATGACGAAATGCCATTATCTTGAATTTATATATATTACAAAATGTGTTGGGAGACTTTGTCTTGCCTATATGCTGCAGTTCACTGCAAACTGCCATGTGTGGTTCTTTTTCTGTATGGAGCAGTATACTTCACAATACAGCTATAATGGTGCACCTTAAGAGGTCTGAACATGTAATACCACTACAGGGTTTTTGCTTTCACAAGTTTGTGACCTGCTGTATAGTGCATCTCTTATGGAATAACTTGTCCGTCTCTCAAAGTGTATCAGTACAGTGGTATTGCTGGAGTATACCATTCAATGTGAAAAGGGGCTATAACAAGCACAGCATTGCTAATAAACTTTGCACTTCAGGTGGTATGTGTGTGTAACTGTCCATGTTGTACTGAATATCTGCTGCTGTGTGAAGATGAAAGTATCAATTCTGGAGTAAACCTTTTCATATAGCCACTGTGGACCCAATGGCAGTTTAAAAAACACCAAAACACATGCATGCGTATTGAGATAACAGGCATTTGTTTGACATTGTACACTTTCCCTCTGAGTCGGTTGTTGTCTCATTTTTATCTTATTAAGACACTGAAATGTTGTACTGGTATTTATATAGACGATTAATGATCCACCTCACATTTCTGAGGTACAGAATCTTCCCAGTTGACAAGTTCCTCACTCTGAGTTAGATGTTTAACCCCTTTTTGTAACACATGTTGTATGTTTTATCACAAGCAGCTTGCTGCCACACAGGATTGAGTTACAGCAGCATTTTAATGGGTAAATGGCATAATGAGTGCATTTTATTTCTGGTTAAAAACAACTTGGTATTATTTTGTGAATGTATATTGTTATTGCTGCTTTGTATTTGTTTTACTTGTATTTTTTGTTTCATTTATTTCTGTATTTTATTTTATGGTGCATTTTAAAGAGTCTGATAGCTTTCTGTGATGTTGGGATCCTGTTTTATATAATGCTATTTGGTTCCAATTGTCATAGTGTGAAATTTGACTTGACGCATAAGAAGTATAACATTGAATATTTATATGTGAGTTGATAACATTAGATGAAAAAACTTATTTAAAGCTTATTATTTATGGAATCCTCTTGTAAGTGCATACTATTGCAATTTTTCTGATATATTCTGCTTTAGGTGTAGTGAAATGCTATTAAGATTTTCTGTTTTTTTATTTGTTGATTGGGATGGGGTTCCAATTTTTTTTATGTATGGATTTCTATGGTTGGGAGACAAAAAGGCTCCATATGTAAATTTCCTTGTCTATTTTTCTCATTTTCCAAGGTTTTGGGCATCTGCTTTTGGGCAATGCCTGCTTGTCTTTGTATAAAAAGATGTAAAATATGTTTTATGATTATAGTAGCTAAAAATAATCATGTCTTGGTTATTTACATGTGCTACTTTGTATATTATGTATTTTGTCTCTATTTAATTGCATGGGTGAATGCTTTTGTGAATGGTGGTAGCATGTGTTTGGTGAATGCAAGATGTGGATTCTACCTTTTAAAAAAGAAAATGAAAACACACTTGAACACTTTGTATGTTTTTTCACTAAGAAATTTTCTTTTTGTTTTTCTTTTATAAATGAGGGTGTTCCTGGATCAAATTGATTATAAATTTAGCTAATTACCCACTGTATCTGCCCACAGAGGACTGGACTACTCTCGGCCGTGGCACGAGGACTATGTGGCCGCTAAGGACAATATCAGGTCTAACCTCCACATTGTCCACCCTGCTCTACAGAAAGTCCTGGACCTGTGTCAGCAGTCCCTGGGCAACATGCTGGTGGTGGACTTCTCTGGTTACAGGTAAGTTACCCCACAAGGTGTCTGGATAGGATTGTTACAGAAAAAAATGATGAAGTGTTAAAGAAAAGCTTTATCTGTGAGGCAGTGAGGTTTGATTAAATATTTATTTTACATGTACTTGGTAATATTATTTTAGTTTAAATGCTATCATGTTCAGATATAATATTTGGACATAAATTTTCTACTTATTTTATTTTGCCTTCCTCTCCCAGACAACAGGGAGCCATGGACTTTGAAGTGCTGAGGAACAATGTAATCCTGGAGTGTGAGAGAGCAGAGGAAAAGCTGATGGCCAGGTATGTTGGCAGCCATCTTGGAGTTGGCTGCCATTTTGGGAGATATCAGGTCGTCAGTGATACAGGTTTTAGAAATCAGAAGTGTCTGCTTGCTTATCCTGGTCAGTTCAAGGTTACATGATTAATAAAGGTTTCAGGCAGCTTCATTACAAGCAGAAATATGATTGATTACTTTGATTAATTTATGTATTAGTAAATTTTCTAATTACATAGTTTTTGTTATTTTGGTAATATTAGGTAACAAGATTGCCATAAAGTAAACACATTATTTTTCAGTGTTTGAAGTACTGAAAATTTTTTACATATTAATATTTCTAAATGAGTTAAATAATCATCATTTCAGCTGGTACCCTCATGTAATCAATATATTTGCTGACAAAAACATCTCCAAGGACATGAGAGGAGAGAGGCTGGAGTCCTTCTACCACTGTGTGTCCACACTGCTGGCTAACCAGGTGAGAACCACCAACAACAGTTCTTCCTCTGGTATAGATTATAAATTATTGATCTGTAGTAAATGATCAGTCTCACCTAGGACCCTTGCCGTACTTTGTCTTGATTGGAGAAAGAACTCTTCAAGTTTACAGTCTTGATTCATGGATAAATTTTCTCCAAGTGTGTGTGTGTGAGAGAGAGAGAGAGAGAGAGAGAAAGGGAATTAATAAATAAATAAAGTCATTTCCTAATGTACATATCACCTCAATGTTCTCCCCAGATGAAAGACTTACTAGTGAGGACCATCAATGGCTGGCTCTGTCTCTTTGACGTGGACAACAAGGAGCACCTGCCCATCCTGAAGATGGAGCTGACCTTTGACGACCAGAAGATGCAGTTCTACCCTGCCTATGAGGACCTGGAGGAGCTGATCTTGTTTGTTGTTCACCAGATCACCAAAACCATGCAGCAGGTCCCCACCGTTTCCTCCTGGCTGGCTGGGGGCAACACCCTCAACCATATCAACGCCAACGTGGCCGAGCATTTAGTCCAGGGGGCGCTGAAGACGCTCAGAGACGCTGTGAAGAGAAACTTTGAGGAGCCTAACGCACATCTGCAGTCCTTTGGTAAGTTTTGTGGGCGGAGACATGATTGATTGTGTGATTGATACTGGTGAAAGTAGGTTATTTTTTCAAAGTAGGTAAATGTCTCCCACAAAAGCACATTATAATGGCTCTACTCACCTTTAAAATTATTGTTTTCAGATTTAAAAAAAAATGATAATAAATTGTGTCTTGGTCACTTTTGCAATTTTTAAATAACATTTTATACCTTGAATACATTCTCTCACTGATTTATTGTACTAATATTTTATGTCTACTTGTAGTGGACAGGTTCAGCCATATTGTAAATGGAGAAGACATGGCAGAGATCCAGAAGTTCATGTCAGAGGAACACTCCTTCCATGAGTACTGCAAGGTAATATACCTCTCTCTCTCTCTCTCTCTCTCTCTCTCTCTCTCTCTCTCTCTCTCTCTCATTTCAAAGCTTTTAGTAAGCATGTTAAGGTACTGCTGTCAGTGTTCAAGTTGAAACTTAAATTAGTCATAATAGAACAGTTATGTTACCTATAATATGTTTCCTCAGTTTATTTACTAAACATTGATGCAATCAATTTTCTTTATCTCAGTATGTGGAACATTTCCGCAATCTGGCCAAGGAGATCCTCAGTCTGCCCAGTATAGAAACTTTCGACATGATCCGCCTGGACTGTGAGGACCTGAAGAGAGGTCTGGCAGACGCGGCTAAGGAGCTGGCAGACGTCCTGCTGAACAGAATGGCTCAGGACCACAGGACTGAGAACACAAGGTCTGTCGAAATGGATTTTGTATGAAGACTGTTAAGAATTGGTAGACAGTTTGTCTCTTAACGAGTTGTCAAACCCATTAATACTAAAAGCCCAAATTTTAAACACCATTATTATAATCATGTCATGCAAATATATTAATGCTAATTGCCTAAATTTTAAACACATTTTTTTATGTCGTGGAAATATATTGTATTTCTGTATGATATGTGATAAAATTATCTAAACAAGAACCATGTGTACTGTAGAATCACTTAATGGCTGTTGTCAAAATTTATGATCATAATTTATCATTCTTATACTGTCATATCAATGTGGTATATTTCCTATATTCCAGTATTTGTGATGAGTTTGCAGACATCAAGGCACGTGCCACCAAGGAACCAGAGACCAGCGAGGACCTGATGGAGATGCAGGCCTTCGTGGAACAGGCCAGGACCTTTGGCATGATAAAACTCAGAGAGAGAATTAATGTACGTATGAAAAGAAAAAACAAATAGAGATACACCATTCTCATTTTATAGATTTAATATATGTATACAAAGAAAAAACAGAAATAGAAATACACCATTCTCATTTTATATTGATCTGTATGAACATGTTCATTTAACATGAAAAACTTTTAAAATGCGCATTAAACATTTACCATGAGTGAACAAATATGTAAATCTCCTCTTACATTTGCTCTCTAGGAATGTCAGCAGAGGTTGGACTACCTCTTGGAGTCGTACTTCTTCTCTCAAGAGGACCTTGACTTAAATAGTGAAGTGCTCACATGGCCACAGAGAATCAACCCAGTGTTTGATGCCAATGATGAGGTGAGATAGAACATCAGCCAGGACCAATCTTATAGAAAATGTGTTGCTTTTCAAAGAATGAATGTAAAATTTGTGGAAATATTAATGCAGCCTTGTTAACATATNTAACGAGTTGTCAAACCCATTAATACTAAAAGCCCAAATTTTAAACACCATTATTATAATCATGTCATGCAAATATATTAATGCTAATTGCCTAAATTTTAAACACATTTTTTTATGTCGTGGAAATATATTGTATTTCTGTATGATATGTGATAAAATTATCTAAACAAGAACCATGTGTACTGTAGAATCACTTAATGGCTGTTGTCAAAATTTATGATCATAATTTATCATTCTTATACTGTCATATCAATGTGGTATATTTCCTATATTCCAGTATTTGTGATGAGTTTGCAGACATCAAGGCACGTGCCACCAAGGAACCAGAGACCAGCGAGGACCTGATGGAGATGCAGGCCTTCGTGGAACAGGCCAGGACCTTTGGCATGATAAAACTCAGAGAGAGAATTAATGTACGTATGAAAAGAAAAAACAAATAGAGATACACCATTCTCATTTTATAGATTTAATATATGTATACAAAGAAAAAACAGAAATAGAAATACACCATTCTCATTTTATATTGATCTGTATGAACATGTTCATTTAACATGAAAAACTTTTAAAATGCGCATTAAACATTTACCATGAGTGAACAAATATGTAAATCACCTCTTACATTTGCTCTCTAGGAATGTCAGCAGAGGTTGGACTACCTCTTGGAGTCGTACTTCTTCTCTCAAGAGGACCTTGACTTAAATAGTGAAGTGCTCACATGGCCACAGAGAATCAACCCAGTGTTTGATGCCAATGATGAGGTGAGATAGAACATCAGCCAGGACCAATCTTATAGAAAATGTGTTGCTTTTCAAAGAATGAATGTAAAATTTGTGGAAATATTAATGCAGCCTTGTTAACATAGCGTTTTACAGTTGTGCCATATTGTCTGTATAGGCATGGTCCCTTTCTTCTAAAATTTAAGTAGAAAAAAAGAAAATTAATAATTTTGAACCTAAACTTTTTTTCTGACTGTATGTTTCTGCTCAATAGATTTCTATGCAGATAGTCATTACCTGTGTGTTTTCAAATGTAATTTCCACTAAATTCCTCAAAACTTCTTTCTTTCAGCTTGTTGAAAAGTCCAGACAAGACGGTGAGAGGCAGCTCCTGGAACGCAAGGAGAAACTGATGCTGGAATTGGAGAAACTGAAACAGAGGGTAGACGAGTTCAATGACTACGGGGAGATGGACATGATGGTGCAGTACGTCCAGGATGTCAGAGCTGTGCAGAAGAGGTTGACAGAGGCCGAGGAAGCTATTGAGTGGGTTAACAAGGTAGGCGGTCTAGCTCAGGACAGTGATTTCTTAGCTGGGGTTAAATCAGACCTGCTGAATTTGTTGGCCCTAATTGTCATGACTGATAGAATTTTGAAGGACCAGTTGAAAAATCTGTTCAGTTAGTCCACAGGACTAGCTTTAATTTTAAGATCTGCCATTTTCAGTTTACAGTCAGTTTTGCATAAAGGACTTCTTTTGATCTATTCTGGTTAAAGTTACTGTTAATTTTATTACACCAGTAAATTTAGATATCATTATTAACAGTTTTTAATCCTTCTATCATTGTGAACATTTCAGGAGGAAGTCCTCTATAAATATCCAATCAGTACGTATCCTGACGTGGATGAGATCAAGGTGGCCATTGATCCCTTCCAGAGACTCTTCAACATTGTCCTCAAGTGGCAGAAAGCCAACAAAAAGTAGGTTTGCTGCTGGTGAACATTTTTTACACCGAAAATAAACTCATTAGCGGAGTCTAAAAGTTGCAGGCAGTAGATATGCTCTAATATACTGTTACTAAGAATATTTCATATTTAAAAAAAAAAAAATTTACAGAATGAGTATGATATAATATTATATGTGAGTGATCCTAAACAGAGCCCAGAAAAGCAAGATATTTTGTAACATTTTACTTTTGTTGTAATATTAAAATGTGTTTTATTTTCCCAGGTGGATGGATGGAGCATTCCTGGACCTGAACTCTGAAGCCATCGAGGCCGAAGCTGACGAATACTTCAGAGAAATCTACAAAATACAGAAAGTCTTCAACAACAAACTCAAGAAAATGTTGGCAGAGAAGGAAGAGCGTGACCGCGAGAAGAAGAAGCGGCGCCGTGCGCAGGTTGAGGGTGAGGACGGGGAGAAAAAAGAGGAAGAAGACGAGGACAAAGTGGTGCCCCCTGCTGCCGTGAAGGTGTGCTCCATAGTACAGGAGGAGATGAAGGAGTTCAAGGTGGGTGTCCTGTGGACTGGGCTCTGATGATACACAGTGTTAACAGCTGTAATTAATAACTCTTTTAGGTATTACTAGCAGTGAAAGGGAATGTCTGTTACCCACAGTTGGTCTACCAACAAACATGAGTTTACAAAACCAGGTCCTTTACCTATTACTACATAGTATGAAAAATGATTCGTTGTAGACTTTGAATTATTGATTTATAAAACAGTTTAGAAAAATGTAATTTGTCATATTATAGCCTTTTTTGTTTTCTGATTAATTCCACATTAAAGTGAATTTTATGCTTCACCCTGCATCTATAGTGGTAAATCTGTACCAGTGATCTGCCATACTCCACTTTGTAAGGGACATGAAGCTAAAATGGCTGGTAAAAACACTTGTGTTACCTCAGTATCTGTTGTTGTTGTACATCAGTAACATTTTCCCCCTTACTGTTATCTTCTAGGAGTACATCCCTGTGGTGTCCATCCTCTGTAACCCTGGCATACGAGAGCGCCACTGGGCCAAGATGTCTGAAATAGCAGGCTTCGATATCACTCCAGACAGTGGCTCCACCTTGAGGAAGGTTCTCAAACAAAACCTGGATGAGTACATGGAGCGCTTTGAGGGGATCTCTGCTGCGGCCACCAAGGTATGGGCAGAAATTATTAGTTTGAAAAGAATTAAAGATTGCAACTAAATCCACTTTTCTTAAGGATGATATTTGATAATATATTTAAATAGATTTGTTCAAATTGAAAAGTGTCAGTATAATTATTATCAGTTTACATTATAGTATTGTTATTATATCTAAAGCCAGATACTTTCCTGTAGGAACACTGTTGGAACACTCCCTGGAGAAGACTACAAAATTTCACTACTAAATTCCAACCTCAATATAAGTCCTTTATTGTATTATATAATCTTATCAAAACCAAATACTTTCCCCTAAGGAACACTACCCAGAGAAGCCCACGTTAAGGATTCAGCTTCAATATAATACCTTTTCTTTTGTGTAGCAATATTATTATTATTACAAATCTAATCTTCTCCCCTCAGGAACACTCTTTGGAGAAGGCCATGTTAAAGATGCAGGAGGAGTGGGCAGACATCAGTTTTAGCCTGACAGCATACAGAGACACTGGGATCAGCATCTTGGCCTCTGTGGATGAGATTCAAACTATGCTGGACGACCAGATTGTGAAGACACAGACTATCAGAGGGTCACCCTTCATTAAGCCTTTTGAGAAAGAAATCAAGGTCTGTATGGGTTAAGGGGTGGTATTGGTCTTTGAATATCTCCTTTCGCAAGATAAATATTTTGAAAAAAGTATTAAGATATTCAGTGCTCGATTAATTTTGCTATCATGTGAGCATGGTATTTTGATTAATTGAGTTATGTTAGTATTTTATTTAAATATGAAAAGAAATATATTTATTTCTATTTAATGGTGGCAATGTTAAGTACCACATCACTGTAAGATATTTTTTATAGTCACTTTGACAAAATGAGACTAAATGTTATTAATCTCAGAAGAAAATATGACCTGTTTTTTGCTCTCTAGGAATGGGAGGACCGTCTGATGCGTATCCAGGAGACAATAGACGAGTGGCTGAAGGTACAGGCACAGTGGCTCTACCTGGAGCCCATCTTCTCCTCTGAGGACATCATGTCACAGATGCCAGAGGAGGGACGGCTCTTCCAGACTGTTGACAGAAACTGGAAGGATGTGATGAAACACACTGTCAGGGATCCCAAGGTATGGTTTTGGTGTGGTTTTGCTGTAGTTTTACTTCATATAGGCCAGGAATGTGCTTATAAATTAAGAGCTGTAATAGAGTGCAATTTTATGACATCTTTGCCACATGCTAAAGCAAACAAAACATAAAAGATGAGAACTAGGAATCAGGTGAAGCTTCCTGCTATTGCCCTAGCTGCTAGAGGCACAAGCTTATTAGTTGAACTTGCTCCATTGCCTTCTTTACATTTCAAATACTTGGTTTTATAAAGGCCAATGTATGTAGAATATTTTGCTTCAGGTCTTACTTCTCTTGGCTTTCTACTTAGTATTTTTCTTGTAGTCTGTCTAGATTTTTCTTGCTCTGCTTCTTTGTCTTATATCTTTTCCTCTCTTTTTTCTCTTCATCTCATAGGTGGACCAGGTAACTATAGCATTTCTATCTTCTTTGACTTCTCTCTGGTGACTTTTAGTTTTAGCATTACTAATATTGGTCTTGTTAAAATTTTATTGTAATAGTTGTAAGTAAACTGTATACCAATGTCTAGCCTTTATAAGTTTTCTCAAGAAAAATATTGTAATAACATGGTTTTAGAAAAAAAAAAGTTCTAAGAAAAAAGTGTGAAATTATGAAAAACTGTTATTTGAAAAATTAGGTGCAAACAATTCCACATTATGAATTCTTAGAATTATTGAAATTCAAAAACTCTTGCTTAAAATAAATTTTTAAGTATCTGAATAATGCCAAAAAGTATCATTTCTACATAAAGATATTGGTAATCTGTATAAATAAAATATTGTGAGCAGATGAGGCAAACAAGTTGTTTAGTTTTAAGTGATATAACCCCTGTTTGTCCCTGTCCAGGTAATGGCGGCCACCAGTCTCAATGGACTTCTGGAGAAACTAGTAGACAGCAACGCTCTCCTGGACAAGATCAACAAGGGGCTGAATGCCTACCTGGAGAAGAAGAGATTGTTCTTTCCAAGGTGGGTATTGATTTAGAGAATATATGGGTGTTCATAGCTCTTGGTGATTTGCTGTAACTACATGTACTTGCACTCTATAATTAAAAAGAAATTTTCCAGGGTATTATTAGAAACATCCTACAAAGGTTGCAGGATAGATGATAAGCTAAATTAAGATGCTATGTCTCAAATAAATGAAAAATTTATGCTGTATAACAGTGTGTCTAAAAAGTTTAGTTATTTGTGTTTTAATCACATAATTCCAGGTTCTTCTTCTTATCTAATGATGAAATGCTGGAGATTCTGTCCGAGACTAAGGACCCAACTCGTGTGCAGCCTCACTTGAAGAAATGTTTTGAAGGCATCGCAAAACTAGAATTTGACAAAAGCCTGGACATCCACAGCATGTTCAGTAGTGAGGGGGAGAAAGTCAAACTCAGTGAAGTCATCTCTACGTCTGAGGCAAGAGGCGCCGTGGAGAAATGGCTGCTACAGGTACAGGACACCATGTTGGTCTCTGTGAGGGACGTCATCGCTGACTCTCGCGAGGCCTACGAAACAACCGCTCGTGAAAAGTGGGTCTTGGACTGGCCCGGTCAGGTGGTCTTGGCTGTGTCCCAAATTTTCTGGACCCTGGAGATCCACGAAGCCATTAAAGGGGGTCCGCAGGGACTCCTGGATTACTGGGAGAAGTTAAAGCAGCAGATGGCCCACATAGTGGATCTGGTCAGAGGAAAACTGACCAAACAGCAGAGGACAACCCTTGGGGCCTTGGTGGTCATTGATGTCCACGCCAGAGATGTGACCAAGGAAATGGCCGACAAAGGTAAGAGAGGGTTAGGAAGGTGTTTTACTACAAATACACCACTAAATGATTATGTTTTTGTATATCTTAGTACTTAACTTTGTGATTATTTAAATATTTTATGTTCTGTAATTTTTCTTTTCAATTTCTTTTGTCATATACATAAAATGGTAGTAGTACCTTTATTTAGATGTATCAAAAGTTCTGGAAGAAGAAAATGACTTTAATTTCTTCTTTTCACAGACACAAAAGTCTCTTGTGAAATGCATTCAATAAGAAAATAAAATATATAACACACTATCTGATTTGTCCAATCCCAGGTGTGTCCTCAGAGAATGACTTCCAGTGGCTGGCCCAGCTCAGATATTACTGGATAGATGAAAGGGTCAAGGTCAAGCTGACCAATGCCACAGTCAGTTACGCCAATGAATACCTGGGGAATTCTGCACGGTAAGTTTCTAGGTGGTTAGACACAAGAATAATTTTGATTTAGATCAACGTAACTACCATGATCTTTGTATGATCTTCTGAAATAGATTAAGTTGTAGTCATCGGTCAGGACCGCATAAGTTATGTTTATAGTCTATTATAATAACATTAGATTTGTAAAATAAATATTGTCGTTTGAATCATTTGTTTCTTTACACCTAGTATTCATTTATGTCACAGATATCAGCTCGGAAATTATTTACAAATTGCTTTATTATAAAAATGTGTATCTGGAGCTAGGGATTAGCTTTCTTTTTGCTTTTCAGTTTCTGTTCCTTCCACAATTAACTTCAGTAGAAATAACATTATGAGGAATGTTATCTCCAACATCACATTTAAATTTCCATTCCAGTCTTGTGATCACCCCGCTGACAGACAGATGTTACCGTACCCTGATAGGGGCGTACCATCTCCACCTGAATGGCGCCCCTGAGGGTCCTGCAGGGACAGGAAAGACGGAGACCACCAAGGATCTTGCCAAGGCCCTGGCTGTGCAGTGTGTGGTCTTCAACTGCTCAGATGGTCTGGATTATATTGCCATGGGGAAGGTAAGGGAGACTGAATCTGAAGTACTGGAAAATAGTCTTTAGTGGAAGTCATCTGAAGCTGTTAGGCCAACAAAAGTTTGTTTTATTTTATGCTAAGCTCATGACACTTTGGGTTATCTCAGATGATTCCCATTCTGTGAACGGTAACTGTCACTCTCCTTCTGAGATTACAAATTCTGTTAAAAGACATGCATATATGTAGAAAGACTAGTTACAGTATGTATTATTGGGAATTGTTTCTTTTACGCTCACATTAATTGGTGTTATTTGTCTGTTGCAGTTCTTCAAAGGTCTTGCCTCAGCTGGTGCCTGGGCATGTTTTGACGAGTTCAACAGAATAGAACTGGAGGTGCTCTCTGTGGTGGCACAGCAGGTAGGGAGACAACTCTGATATTGTATTTAAAAAATATGAAAATATAAGTTTTATAGTTTTTCATAGACCAAGAGTGCTAAATTTTGAGGAAAAAATTGGAACAGAGATATGTCACACAAATATAAAATTCAGAAAACATGTAAATGGTCTGTACTGCAATTGTACTTGCATATGGATAGTGAAGTTGGAAAATTAATAGTATTAATTTTTTTGCAGTCATGACAACAGAAAAATAGATTAATAATATATTATTTTTCATGGATGCTTTTTAGACATTTTTATCCTAACCCCCCTATCTGTTCCAGATTCTGTGTATCATCAGAGCAGTACAGGGGAATGTGGACACCTTCATATTTGAGGGCACAGAGCTCAAACTGGTCCCCACCTGCTATGTCTGCATCACCATGAACCCTGGGTACGCAGGGCGCTCCGAACTCCCAGACAATCTCAAGGTTCTGTTCAGAACTGTGGCCATGATGGTGCCGGACTACGCCATGATTGGTGAAATTTCTCTCTACTCATTTGGGTTCTTGGATGCCCGTAACTTGGCAGTGAAGATTGTGACGACGTATCGTCTGTGTTCTGAGCAGCTGTCGTCACAGTTCCATTATGATTATGGTATGAGAGCCGTGAAAGCTGTCTTGTCAGCTGCTGGAAATCTCAAGCTCAAGTTTCCTGATGAGAATGAAAATATACTGGTAAGCAGAAGAGATAAAAGTGTACAAAGTTTATAAATCAATTTCAGTGACATGTTTTATCCTGTTAATACTTCTTGATAATGTATAACATAATGTGAAATGGACAGTTTTTTAAAAAACCTTTTGTTTCTGCAGTTGATCAACAAAAGCAAAGCATGTGAAATGATAAAAGTATTCTCTTTTATTTTTCTCAGCTGCTGAGGTCCATCATTGACGTTAACCTGCCCAAATTCTTGGCCCACGACATCCCCCTGTTTAACGGTATCATCTCTGATCTGTTCCCCGGGGTTGTCCTGCCCAAACCAGACTACAAGGTATTCCTGGATGCCGTCTCCACGGTGGCAGAGAAACGCCACATCCAGACCGTAGACTTTTTCTTGGAGAAAGTGATCCAGACGTATGAAATGATGATTGTCAGACACGGGTGAGTAGAGAGTTGTTTGATATTTGGAGGAAAAAATATTTGAAGCACTGTGTATTTGTTCTTCCCCTGATCTAGATACATGCACCAGAAATATAGTGGCATACACATGTATATTATTTCTAAATTGTTATTTAAGAATGCTAACTTATTAGCTAAGAATGTTTTAAAATAATTGTATAAATTTTGTTTGATTAATGTAAGTTACAAATGCAAAGTGCATTTAATTCAATAAGGATATGAAAAAAAATTCATTTACAAACCATGAAACAATATATCTGTAGTATAATGTCATATCTTTTTGTACAGATTCATGTTGGTTGGAGAACCATTTGGGGGCAAGACGGTGGTCCTCAATGTACTGGCGGAGGCCATGACTCTGCTGAACGAGACGGGACATGAGGAGGAGTATGAGAAGGTCATGTTCAGGGTCATCAATCCCAAGTCCATCACCATGGGGCAGTTGTATGGACAGTTTGACCCTGTGTCCCACGAGGTGAGGTCTCCTGGAGTCAATATCTATCTTGAAAGAGAACTTCTATGTTTTTTCATTAGTTTAGTGTTATGACTGTTAACTTGATTCTAGAGGAAAATTTCTTGATTGATCAAAAAATTATGTAATTGATGTTTACAATTGAATTATAATAACATCATTGTTAGTGCATTTTATAATAAGAATATGTAACACTGATATACCAAAAATGTATTAGTTTCTATAAATGACTAAATTTGCTTTGTTTGTCAAAAGAATTCAATATTTAAGGGCAAGGTAAGGGTAGAGGTCTCTCGTGCACGGTAAATGGTGCAAACATCAGCCGCCCACCATGTGGCTGGTACTTTTTTAAGACACCTCCTATAGATGGCACTGTAGACTGTCTCAGACAAGGGTCACATGACACTTGACCTCCATGAAAACTGACACAGACATTAGACCAATATACTTATTTTATTTAAAAGCATTTGTTTTTATAGCTGGCTAAATTACTTTATTGCACAAATGACTGAATAAACACTTCTCTTGCTAAAAAAAGAGAACCTTTCTGTTGGGGAAAAAGTATGGGTTATTTCTGCATGAAGATTCTGTTCTATTCGTATTACTGCCTCATCCATCCTACTCCTGTTTTAACTGCACCTGAAGTTTGTGTTTTGTGTTAAAGATATGGAAATAAAGCAATGATAAGATGACAAAATGACAACAGTACTACATTTAGGAGTATATTTTGCAAGAATTAATTTATCCATTTTGTTTGTCCTCTATAAAAAAGGTGCAGTGTGAAGCTAGAGATTTAATATATTAAGCAATTTTGTAGCTACAGATACAGTGTCTTTTAATATACAAGTATTACATATCGTCAAAATTATATACTTCTAAGAAACAAAGATTTATTTTATTTCCAATTTTTGTCATTCAATATTAGACATGTTTTCTAATGAATCAGAGTTATCCCTGTATAACACATTCCTATTTTTCCACCACTTCCAGTGGACAGATGGTATTGTTGCCAACACCTTCAGAGAGTTTGCCTCCACAGACACGCCAGACAGGAAGTGGGTCATCTTTGACGGTCCCGTAGATGCGGTGTGGATTGAGAACATGAACACGGTGCTGGATGACAACAAGAAGCTGTGTCTGATGAGTGGAGAGATCATTCAGATGTCCAACCCCATGAGTCTGATCTTTGAGACCATGGATCTGTCTGTGGCCTCTGTAAGTTGAGTCATTGCTTTCTAGAGACAACTTAGTGGCATCGAGATGAAATATTTTTATGTTAGTAATTTGTGTATTTAGTTATTTTCCACACGTTAATTATAATTACCAATGAGAAAGTAATTGATCAAGGTCTTCCTAGGTATTAAAACACTGCCTAAAAAATTCTCTCTTTTTATTATTACTAACACAGACATTATAAAACAGTTTTTCCCCTTTCTCTCTCTCACAGCCTGCTACAGTCAGTAGGTGTGGTATGGTGTACCTAGAACCTACCACCCTGGGCTGGAGACCCCTGAGGAAGTCGTGGATGGAGGTTCTCCCGGAGCCCCTCAAGGTGGAGTCAGAGCTGATAGAGGAGATGTTTGAGTGGATGGTGGACCCCTGTCTGGAGTTCATGAGGAAACAGTGCAAGGTATGAATTTTTTTAATGTTCATCAGAGAATGATGTTTTGCAAATGCAATGTGTATTTGATGTGCTTCATCTAATTGAGTCTGGTAGTGATTTGATGCCAGTAACTGTCTGTGATAGCGGCAGCGTCTTGCTGTCTTAAAAATATTTGGAATTTTTGTCACAGAAAGTTATTTTCAAGCATTGCACAATAACTCTTTCATTGATTTATGTGTTTTTCTCTCTCTATTCCAGGAGTACTGTCCCACTCAGATGGCCAACTTGGTGAAGTCTTTCATGAACTTCATTGACATGTTGATGCATGATGTGGTCAATAAGGAAGACGCCATGGAGAATAAACATATCAGAGGATACCTAGTGGTACGTGGAATATATACACACTCATAGATATCTACTGTATGTAGAAAGTTGGAGGCTTTGTTATTACAGAAATATATTTGTTATGCTGTATGGAATTTGACTAAAGATTTTGCTTGATTTGAATTGTTTCAACTTTTGTCTTGAAAATAGTTTTTAAATGACATTTTTTTTTTCATAATAAGCTTTGAAATTGTTTTTTACAGTAGGTTGTAAAAGTATGCACCAGCTAACAGCAAAAATTATCATCGGTGATAAAATGCAATATTGTAATACCCTGTTATCAGAATTATCAAAATCAATTTTTATCCTGCATCAACCTAATATTATTTCTCACATTTCTTCCAGAGCACCATCATTTTCTCAGCCGTCTGGTCAATAGGTGGCGTTGCAGACTACGACAGCCGAGCCAAGTTTGATGTTTTCTTCCGTGAGCTGCTGGCAGGCAAGCAGGAAGACAACCCCATTCCTAAGTCCCTGGGGAAGCTGGACATCCCTCTCCCTGACAACGGGATGGTCTATGACTACATGTTTGAGGTAAGGAGAAGATAATACATCCGTATTATTGCTTTAAAATTTGCTAAAGTTTTTTTTACAAAGAATGATACAGTTCCAGTCTGAATCTACACTGATTATTCAGTTTTGAAAATCCTAGGACTCTCAATATTTAACAGTTTTTATAAACTAAGGCTTACTAGGTACTTAATGTTAATCATATATTTGTTTTAGTCATTAAGCTCTACTTTTAAAATATGTTCATCAAAGTAACCTACTAGTAATTAACCCCTATAGCAGGTATTACTTTTATTACTAATTTGTCTTGTGATATTTCCAGCAAAAAGCTCGCGGCCAGTGGAGACACTGGAATGACTTTGTCAAAGGCTCTGACCTTCCAGCCAATAAGAAGATCCGTGAGATCTTGGTGCCTACCATGGACACGGTTCGCTACACGTACCTGATGGACCTCTGCATCACACATGAGAAGTAAGTGGAAAAAAAGAGACTATTTGATGAGAAAAGTGACAAAAAATCTTCATGCTAACAACACCATATACTGGATTGATAATAGCTTGCTAACTTGCATGTACCTGAATCAAATTAAAAATGTCATAACAAACCTGAAGGCTAAGAACTGTGATTTTGGCGCTGAAGCTTGTCATAATCTTATTTTTTTTAATGTTGGACAAATTTCCACTTCTTAGACATTTCAATGTGCTTGTGCAAGTGTTAGTTTGTCTAGTATACTTCAGTTTTAAGATGAATTCTTATCCCCTTTTTTCCTCTACTCTATGTTATACTTGTGACAATCAATTATTGACTCTTCTCTCTCCCCTTCAGGCCCATCTTGTTTGTTGGCCCCACAGGGACAGGCAAGAGTGCCTACGTCCAGGAGAAGATGATGAACAACTTGTCCAAGGAGAGTTACATGCCAGCCTTTGTCAACTTCTCTGCTCAGACCAGTGCCAACCAGACACAGGTAGGCAGGACGTTATGGCTGAATCTGGTCCTGTGTTTTAATATGATTGAAGTCATGATGGCATTAGTAGTGTCAAGTGTTTACTTATTTATTTTTAGTTTTTTTTTCATAAATTTTTTTATTAAATTATCATGTGTAATATTTCAGTGTTGGTACTTGCATAGTGTAGATTCTTAAAAGTATTCTGCACATTTGATATATTTGAATCTCACTGATACATCACAATGAAAGCAAATTATCATCAAGTTTCCACTTTAGCCATTTTATCAGAAGAAGTATGCAACTTTGGAAATCATAAATAAACAATATTTTAACCAGCTGCTATATTTCTTATTCCAGTTCATCATCATGTCCAGGCTTGACAAGAGGAGGAAGGGTGTGTTTGGACCCCAGGTTGGGAAGAAGGCCGTCATCTTCGTAGACGACTTGAACATGCCCCAGAAGGAGATCTACGGAGCTCAGCCTCCCATTGAGTTACTAAGACAGTTCTTTGATCATGGGAACTGGTAAGGGGGTTCTTAAGATTTTTTTTAACAACTTCATAATTGTTTTTAGTGAACTTGTTTTTCCTTGCTATTTTGGTTTGATACCATGCAGTTCTTTTATTTTTTAATTTAAAGAATTTATCTACATTTGTTTGGCAACAGGTTGTTGGTGTTTTGAAACTACTATATAGAAGCAAGAAAATGTACCTAGGGGAAAGATAGTTTGTATTGAATAATTACTTTTTACACACATTTTTTAGCCACAGTGTATGATTAATGCAGTGGCTTTTCTTTGTTTTACTTCAAACAGAGATGAGACTGGTATGGTACAAAATTCTGCATAAATTCTGCCAACATACACACCCATGTGGTAAACATTTTTGCCTCTTGATTTTTCCTAGGTATGACTTGAAAGACACCACAAAGATTGTCTTGATTGAACTACTTTTCCTGGCGGCCATGGGTCCCCCTGGTGGCGGGCGAAATGAAGTAACTCCCAGATTCATGAGACATTTCAACATTGTTGGCATCACGCCTTTTAATGATGAAACTATGACCAAGATATTCTCTGCTCTGTTGACTACATATTTGAGGGTATGTACAATATACTTGACATATATATAGTACACCTGTTTTATTTTAAGCAGAACTAGAATTTTGGCAATTTCCAGTTGCCCTGTCCTTAAATTATTTAAAGTGTATATTGCATGAGCTGAAAGGAAAAATATAAAACATTATATTATTTTCACATACTCAGAACATTACTTCAAATGTTTGTAACAACAAAAAAAATCAAAGTCAAATCCTCTCCATTCCAGAGACAAGAATTCCCACCAGATTTCTTCGCCACAGGCAACCAGATCGTTCACGCGACACTGGACATCTACAAGGCAGCCATGCAGAACCTGCTACCGACGCCGGCCAAGTCGCACTACCTGTTTAACCTGCGTGACTTCTCCAGGGTGGTGTTGGGAATTTGTCTGATCAAGAAGACCGAGGTTGAGAACAAGAGGGTCATGATCAGGTAGGTTAGGGTTAAGTAAATAACTCCCTATAATGCATAATGACTGTTTAACAATTGTACACTTTATAATACATAGTTAATCTAAGAAAGTAAATGGTTGAACCTGGAACTCTGTTTTAAATTTGTCAATATCAGAAATGCATTGAGCTATAAATACATGCTTTTATGAGCATTCTTTGAAAAAATCATAGTTAACTGTTATGTAGAAGTGTATTATTAAACGAGACTAAACAGCTAAGGATAAGAATAATAACAGCAGTACATTCATTTTCTTTTTAAATTGAAAAAAAATTAAATTTCCTTCAATTTTCCCATCATTCCAGACTGTGGGTCCACGAGGTGATGAGGGTGTTCTATGACCGTCTCATTGATGACAAAGACAGGGCATGGCTCTTCAAGTAAGTCACCAACACACAGTTTCACTTTCATTTATATTTGGCTGTTTACTATGTAGATAAATATGGTCATTTTAAGGGAATTAAGTAAAGAGAATTGATTTTTTGAAAAAAAGAATTACGGATGTTCATGGTACATTTTTCATTGAAAATTGTATGAGTTTTTTGTTATTGTTAAAAAAAGAAAGACAGTAATATGTTATTTAAAAAAGCATGTGATACCAGCTGTATGTGGGTTATTATAAATATTCTCTTTTATTTATCAGGATCGTAGGAGAGATGGTAAAAGACCACTTCAAGGAAAGCATGGACGCAGTGTTTGAACACCTGGCTAATGGAGGGCAGGGAGGAAAGGTGTGTACTCCATCTGCTTGAGATTAGAAATAATCTTTATCTATATGACATTGATCTGGTGATATACCCATTATTTTTGACCATACAGTGTGTTATATAGTCATTGGAGTGGTAACAGTCTTGAGTATACAGTAATTTGTTTATCAGCAAACATCTTTTCCCCCTCTTGTTTACTGCTGCGTCTTCCACTAGTAATGTTCCTGATTTGTATTTTGAAAGTTATTTGAACCAAATGTAATATCTGCAGGAAAAAGTCGTTATTGAGGTATCAGTAACTGCTGTAAAAGACAACCGTGATGGAGTATCCAGCCTTTCCATAACTTGCTAATATTTATTCTCCAGCTTGCTGAGTCAGACCTGCGAAGTCTTATGTTTGGTGATTACATGAACCCCGATGCAGACGCGGAAGATCGTGTGTACCAGGAGGTGTCCTCCCTGGATACCTTCTACACTATAGCAGAGGGTGCCCTGGAGGAGTACAACCAGACACATAAGAATAGAATGGACCTGGTCATCTTCAGGTGAACTCACTTGGATTTTTCAGTCAATTTTCTTTCTTCTTAATCCAAGCTTCAGAGATGTATTTGTTGTAATGTGTACATTGAATGTTTGATATGAGCTTGCTGGTTAATATATATGGTATTAATAAATGCTATTGTGCACCACATGGGTAAACAGACAGTTTGATGGTCACAAAAAAACTTGTATAAATGCTTAGCAAACTAGACGTATTGAAATACACAGTTTACCTTTATTGGTGATGAGTGCTTTATTTCACCATCAAGGTCAAAGTACACCTTAATTCTGAACAACCCTCCCCTCAACTCTCCCCCAGGTATGCGTTGGAGCATCTGTCCCGTATCAGTCGTATCCTGCGTGTGCCAGGTGGAAATGCTCTCCTGGTGGGTGTGGGAGGTAGTGGACGCCAGTCACTGACCAGACTGGCCACAGCTATGGCTGGGTATGGACTCTTCCAGCCAGAGATCTCCAAGAACTATGGCACACAGGAGTGGAGGGAGGACCTCAAGGTTAGAGCACTTCTTATTTATTTATTTATTTATTTATTTATTTATTTATTTATTTATTTATTTATTTATTTCTGTAGGCCCTTAAAACAATTTTGCAGTCACTGAAAAATTTTTTAAAGAGTTTCAAGAGGGATTTTTGTCCATTTGTAAACAGTAATGTATAAAATAAAACCTGTCTATTAATTCTGTGCATCAGATTTAGAATATAAAAAGATAAATCAATAAAGTGAAACAATATGGTGACACATGTTTCACAAATCCTATTTCCCCCCTCCTGCAGACTGTCCTGAAGAAGGCCGGTGGAGAGGGCAAGCCGACCACATTCCTGATCACAGACTCTCAGATCAAACAAGAGTCCTTCCTAGAGGACATAGATGGCCTGCTTAATGCTGGGGAGGTGCCCAACCTCTTCCCTCCTGATGAGAAGGCAGAACTGATGGAGGTAGAACACTGTTACTGTTGTTGATCTCAGTTTGCGTGTTTTGTGTATATGTGTATCTGCCTGTGCAGATATGTGTGTGTATGCATGTTTGTGCGTATGTGTGCATAAATGTGTATTAAGTATTTAAGAGCACTTTGTCATTTTCTTAACCTATATTTTCAGTACAAGTATTATGATGAATGTGCATTTCTTGTACAGAAATAATTAAATGAAAAGATAGTATGAATGTCCAAGCTCATTCAGATATTTTAACTAACCAATATATTTATCCCATTTCAGCTGGTCAGACCTGCTGCTCAAGCCGGTGACAAAAACGCCGAGTTCACTCCACTTGCCTTGTTTGCCTTCTTCGTCAACCGCTGCCGCGAAAACCTCCACATCGTCATCGCCTTCAGTCCCATCGGAGATGCCTTCCGTAACCGTCTCCGCCAGTTCCCGTCCCTTATCAACTGCTGTACTATCGACTGGTTCCAGCCATGGCCTGAGGATGCCTTGGAGAGAGTAGCCTCCAAGTACCTGGAGGTCCTGGACATTGAGGAGGACTGGAAGAAGGAGATTGTCACCATCTGTAAAAGTTTTCACACCAGTGCCGCTGATCTCTCTGCAAGGTGGGAGCCTGGACTTTTGTTGGCTTTTGACTTTTGGATGGGGCTTTGTTTTCTGTTTTGTTTTTTACAGCAGTAATGGTTTTATTTATCCTGTTTAAAAAAACATACAAAATGATAGATGCAAATGAAAAAGTAAGAGCTCAGAATCGATAAAATATGTGATATCACTCAAGTTGCCCCAACATGTCACAGCTCTGGAGGCAATTTTCATTCTTTTCTAACAATCACAATTAAAATCCCTCAATTTTTGTCTTCAGTTTCCTGGAGCAGCTTGGCAGACATAACTACGTGACCCCGACCTCTTACCTGGAGCTGATCTACTCCTTCAAGAACCTGCTCACCTCCAAACAGGACACCACCATGAAGGCCAAAAGGAGGTACGAAGTGGGGCTGGAGAAACTGGCCTTTGCTGCCTCTCAGGTGAGGAAAAATATGATGAAATTAAGTTTATTATAATTAGCTTTGTAAAGGAAGAGTGGGAAGATGAAATTAATAGGAAAAATCATGGAAAATTGGATTAGTTTATGAAGTGTGTTGTAGTTTGCAGATCAAGTGGCCATGGTAACCTATCCTTGGTGTGAGTGAAACATTTCTATGGCTAATCAAAATTTTATTTAAAAAGAGATTATCTATTTCTGTTTGAAAAAGAAATAGCAAATAATTGTTTGCTTTGCCAGGTTGCTGATATGCAAAAGGAGCTGGAAGAGCTTCAGCCACAGCTGGCCGTCGCCGCCGAGGAAAACGCCAAGATGATGGTGATTATCCAGAAAGAATCTGTAGAAGTTGAGGAGACCAGTATTAAAGTAAAGGCAGACGAGGAGGTGGCTAATGAGCAAGCCACGGCTGCCAAGGCTCTTAAAGAAGAATGTGAGGGCGACTTGGCCGAGGCTATTCCTGCTTTGGAGGCGGCCATTTCTGCCTTGAATACTCTCAAACCAGCAGACATTACGATTGTGAAGTCGATGAAGAATCCTCCCGCTGGTGTGAAACTTGTGATGGAGGGCGTATGTGTCATGAAGGAGATCAAACCAGAGAAAATAAACGACCCAGGCGGCTCAGGAAAGAAGATTCTTGACTACTGGGGACCTTCCAAGAAACTTCTTGGTGACATGAATTTCCTGAATATGTTGAAGGAGTATGACAAGGATAATATTCCAGTGAGTTATCACTTTGTTTAAAGCTTAATTTTAAACATCCATATATTGTGTAAAGATTTTTATGATTAAGATATTATTTAATTATTTGTAAAAATAAAGTCATTGAATGGCAGTTTAACCAATAGAACTCAAAAGTTTTATACCTTAAAACTTCCATTGTAGCATGAAGCATTTTCTGTTTTAAGGTTGCTGTCATGACCAAAATCAGAAAAGAATACTGCACCAACCCCGAGTTTGACCCCGTCAAAGTTGCCAAAGCCTCCTCGGCTGCCGAGGGTCTCTGCAAGTGGATCCTGGCCCTGGAGATCTATGACCGCGTGGCCAAAGTGGTGGCCCCCAAGAAAGCCAAACTGGCCGAGGCAGAGTCGGAACTGGCCACCACCATGGGCATCTTGAATACCAAGCGGGCTGAGCTGAAGGCGGTCCAGGATAGGTTGGCGAACCTTAACAAGAGCTTCCAGGAGATGACGGACAAGAAGGCAAAGCTGGAGTTTGAGGTGGACCTGTGTGGGAAGAAACTGGTGCGCGCCAAGAAGCTGATTGGTGGATTAGGAGGCGAGAAGGACAGGTGGGTGTGGTTTATGGCCACTGAAGAAGTCTTTTAAGACTTATTTTTACAGTATGTATAAACACAATTTTAAGATTTTTATTTTGGGGCTTACAAGGTGATTACTATGACCACGATGACGTAATAATGTTTTAGCAGATGTAAGAGGCCCAGATATAGCTTGAAAAATTGTGTGCATATATTAATTAAGCTTTATGTCTCATAATTTTCAAAAACTTAGTCATGATGATGAAACAACCTGGAAAGATATAGTGTGCTTGTTTCTTTAGTAAATATTGAGACTGTATTTAACAAATAACATCCCCTGTCTTCCAGGTGGACCCAGGCTGCTGCCAACCTCCAGAACATCTATGACAACCTGGCTGGTGATGTGCTGATATCAGCCGGGGTTGTGGCTTATCTTGGACCATTCACGTCTGCCTTCAGGGACAGACAAACTGCATTGTGGGTCAAGACTTGCACAGTGAGTAACGTAGATAGGGAATTAAATGAAAGAAACAAAGTTATGATGTGTTGATTGGATTGACAGTTGGTCTACAGGCAGCTAAAAATATATGTGTAAACTGAGATAAACTTTATTATTTCAGTCTTAATTATTCCTGTTGTTGACCCAGGGGCGGATCCAGAGCTATTTACTGACAGGCTTCCAAATTATCTTTGTTGATTCATCCTCCAATTTTGACCGTCTTCCAACAGGAAAAATTGGATACCCATCAATGTAAACTTGAAAATCTGACCGTCTTCCGGAAGACCCAGAAGATGGCCTAAATCTGCCTCTGATTGACCAATAGGGTTTTTTAATTAGCAATTTCTGTTGTAATTGCTTTTTTTAAAATCTGTTCTGTGGTAACTTAAACAAGGATTCACCATTGGCAATATACTCTCTATCAGACACTAAATCTTTCACTTTAATTTTGTCTGCAGGAGAAGAAGATTCCATGCACCCAGGAGTTCTCCCTGACCAAGATTCTTGGTGAACCAATCAAAATTCAGGCGTGGAACATTGCGGGTCTTCCCAAGGACAGCTTCTCCATTGATAATGGTGTCATTGTGGCCAACTCCCGGAGATGGTGAGAGACACATCTATACTTCACTGTATAATGATAAAAAGTTGTGATAATTAGAAAATGATTAAAAATATATTGTTGCATTTAAAGAGTATTATGATACAGTTAACTAATTCTTTAATGCTGTGTGACATTTGTTTTTTAAAATAAAATTTAGTAGTGATTTTGGAAGATTATTTAAGGTATTGAAAGCATGATTATTTATGTGTGCTATCATCCCAAGGTAATTTAGTGGTGCCAGTGCAATATATATGTTGAATGTTGAACTTATTGATTCATCCATATATTATCAATGGTTTTTAACTCACCCCCCCCCCCTTTACCCCAGGCCCCTGATGATAGACCCCCAGGGCCAGGCCAACAAATGGATCAAGAACAGTGAGAAGGACAACCACCTTGGCGTCATCAAGCTGACGGACTCCGACTACATCCGTAACCTGGAGAACAGCATCCAGTTCGGCTATCCTCTTCTGCTGGAGAATGTCGGAGAGGAGCTGGACCCGTCGCTGGAGCCTCTGCTGCTGAAGCAGACCTTTAAACAAGGTATGGAGAGAGAGTACAGAGTCTGTTAAGGCGTTAACAACAGCTTGAAGTGCATTAGTCCTTATGTTTAGACCTGTTTTATGTTGAATGCATCTTCAACATGGACTCATACTGCACATTCTTTTTTGCATAGAGTTTCAAAACTTCATTTATTTATTTATTTATATTTTTGGCTCAATAAGGATTATATGTCTTTTCATCAATTCATTGTTTATTAGCATTTAATGGTAAAATTTCACCAAAGACAATCAGTTAGTTGAATTTTATCAAAATTTCTCTATTGTGAGTTCAGCAATAAATGTATAAGTTGCAAGTGTCTTTTATTTAGTTTAACTAAATTAAGTTCTTGGAGTGAATGTCATTAAGCTTTGCGACATGCATGCTTGTATATGCCAATTAACCATTGGCATTTAAGCTTTTGATACTAACCACTTGTTTGTTAAACTGCATGCTTATCTGCTTGCATTTTAGACTTATATGTTTGTTTGTTTGTTCTTTCATATTGCTGTATGAATCACAGATTTTTATTTCAAACAAGTGACTTGTCTACGATTTGAACGTTGACAATTTTGAACTTTGCTCTCAGTTGTCTCTGCACATTGTTTTATCCAATTACTCAGTGTTTTCTGTTGTATGTATTTTAATAGCTGCACGTGATATTATCACCTCACTGCAAATGTTCTTGTTTTAAAGTTCTTGGTGGCATTAGTAAGTATAATGGCTCACCCACACATATACTTTATCATCAAGGTGGAGGGGTTATACTTCTTATGGTCATTACAATTATCCTATCTACAACTTGGCTCTGTTTACCTGTATAAATCTCTTATCTCTTAAAATTCTCATATCCACTAACCCTGCATGACGTTCTTGGTCCCCATACTTAATACTTCTGCATGATTTTAATTTTCTATATTTCACTGACACAACTACTTTGTGGTCCTTTGGTATCCAAACTTCCTTTGCATGAATCAGAAAAGTTTTTCCCTCAAAAACTGAACCTGCCTAGCTCATATTTGAAATATAATGTCTCCTGAACTTTATCAGAAAAACAACATATCCAGTGATGATTTATACATATTAGTTTAAGATAAAATGGCAAAAACTAGTTGCAATAGAAGTTGATTATATCTTAAAATATATGTAGTAAGATTTTGCATCATTTATTGCAATATTCTTTTAAAATGCATGAAATAGCTAAAAATGCTTCATAGTTAGAAGTGGGCGTAGTTTCACAATTTTATATAATTTATCTTGCTGACTTGAGTGATTTCCAATTAGACAAAGATTAATTTATTGTGGTAATTATAAGATACCTTACTTAAAAGAAACTTAATATAAAACTGTGCCTAGATATAGAATGAGACTATATCTCTCCACTGTCTCTTGGGCTGGTATAAAACTGCTCAATATACAGGTATCACCTGAATTTTATTTTAGTACATTCTATATGAACATAAAATGGCATGGCATTTTTTAATACAAAGGCTGCCTTTCTTTTCTTCATGTTTTGTGGGCAGACTTTTTAAGATTACTTAAAAGGGGTTGGAATTTAATTAATGTATCTATAAAAAGAGAGATGGAACAAGTTGTCCTCAGTGTATAGAAATCCATAAGGTTCAGGCTACTTTCGAGATATTTTCGGTACTGTTTTATTTTTCATCATGTTGAATGATCTGGATTATTTGATATTATTTGTTAAGCAATTATGAACAGATGTTATGATATACAATAATTTTACATGATAGAAGACAGTACATAAAAATGATGAAGACTGCATCTGAAGTAATAATGAAGACGTGGTATACGTATTTCCCTGTAGGTGGTGTTGACATGATCCGTCTTGGTGAGAACGTGATAGAATACAGCAAGGACTTCCGCTTCTACATCACCACCAAGTTGCGTAACCCCCATTATCTGCCAGAGGTCGCCACCAAGGTGTCGCTGCTCAACTTCATGATCACCCCAGAGGGGCTGGAGGATCAGCTGCTGGGTATCGTGGTCGCCAAAGAAAGGTAAAAGGCCATTCCGCACCATATACTGTTTAGCCGAAGATTTTTAAAAAATCATTCTACTATTGTTTCAGACTTCTGTAAATGTACATACATTGAAACGAACTGTAATATAATTTTATTCAAGTTATTTTTGGGACCATTTCAGGGCTTGACCCTAACTTTTTTCGATACTGGCCCGAGACATTGGTGAATATTGCAAGGATGATTTGACACATGACATTTTACTTGCTCTTTGGGCCAGTGACCCCAGTGATTCAATGGCCCTAGGTCAGTTTTCAGTGGCCCAGGGCCAGTGGGCCACCCTTAATGTCAAGCCCTGCATTTGCAATCAGTTTTGTTGCCAAGGCAACTTTTGGATAATTTGACCATGGTTTAAGTGGATATTTTGCGATTGGCATTCCTATTGTCTGATTGGCTGTCAAGATATACTGACAGATTTTGACCGTGCATACTGTAGTCTTCTGTACTTATAAAAAAGTCTGATCTTTCCATTCATCTAGGCCAGAGTTGGAGGAAGAAAGGCAGAGTTTGATCAAGACCAGCGCTGCCAACAACCGTCAGCTGAAGGAGGTTGAGGATAAGATTCTACATACTCTGTCAGCCTCTGAGGGCAACATTCTGGAAGACGAGTCTGCCATTCAGATCTTAGACTCCTCCAAGATTCTTTCAGATGAGATCTCTAAGAAGCAAAAGGTAGGAACAGTTTGTGAAATATTATGCTTTTTTAGGAAAGGAAAATAATATTTTGAAGGCAGAATGAATTAATTTTAGCTTTTAGAAAAAAATTCATAAGGTAATTTGGACACTGCCATCTAAGGAAGAGAGAGAGATGGGGAGAAATGTTGCCATTTTTGAATGGTCACAAATATTTCCGTCACTGCCACCAATAGTTATGTCTCTGTTTTATTATTTTTTTCATGTTTTATGAGACCAAGTGTTTTAATAATATCACACGGTAGATGTACATGTTTTTTTTTTTTCAATTTCAACCTTTTTGAACATGATTTCCACGTAACATTACAATACCATGCATTGAAATCCAGATCGCAGAGGAAACAGAGAAGAAAATCGAGGCATCCCGTGTGGGCTACCAGCCCATCGCCAAACACTCTGCCAACCTGTTCTTCTCCATTGCTGATCTGCCCAACATAGACCCCATGTACCAGTACTCCCTGATGTGGTTTGTCAACCTCTACATTAACTCCATACAGGACAGGTGAGAGGGGCGTTGCCTGGTACTGATATCAGATGTTACTTATTACTCGTGAATTTATAAATTGTTAGGAGGTTTTTAAAATTGTTCTGCTTTAAATAGACATCCATTTAGACGAATACATAAATGTAGAGTTAGGATGTGAGTTAAACTTGATATTAAGCTCTGAATAATTTCTGCTTTAAAGAGTAGATACATTTAAGAAGAATGTAAAAAAACAGATTTTTAAGTAATTTTCAGTATATTTTGAAACGTATTATCTTATTTATTTATTTATTTATTTTCTTTTTTTTTTTGTCATAAGCATGTATTTCATATTACTGAAAGGTGTGAAATGTTACCATTCTCTTGTTCCAGTTATAATTCATCTGTTTCTTATCAGATGAAAGTAATTTTCATGTCTCATCTGCCATTGTCTAGTATTTCAAGCTGGTTTGTCTTGATTGAAATAGCTAGAGAAAATGACATGGAGGCCCAAATGTCAGTTAGATCTTGTGTTGTATTTTGCATGAATATTTGCAAGTAGCTGATATCTAGAAATATTTATAAGAATAGTAAATGTATGTAATATTTTCAAACAATTTTTGGGGCACTTCCCTCTTTATTTTGAAGAACTAGCTGGTATGCAATATTTGTGTATTGTTTTTTCTATCAGTCATTGGAAAAATAACGGAAAGCTGTGTATAAGATGAAAAGGATATTTTTTAAATAATTAATTAACATTTTCAGCTATTTTGTGAGGAATTTACAGTCAAAATATTATACAAGAGTGGAATAATAGCTGTGCATTTTGCAGTGGCTGGCTTCATCATATGCTGTTTATTTCAGCAATAAATCGAAGATCTTAGAAAAGCGCATACGCTATCTCAGAAACCACTTTGAGTACAACTTGTACGCCAATGTGTGCCGATCCTTGTTTGCAAAAGACAAGCTGGTCTTCTCATTTTATATGTGTGCTAATTTGGAATTGTAAGTACTCAGAATGAGATGTGAGGAGGAGGAAGTAGATGGATGGAGCATACATGTAGCTGCTAGAATTTGATTTCATCCCTAGCTACCCAGCATGCATCCTTCAAAATGGCATCCAAATCTGCTATTTTTTAGTTTCAGTGCTTGCGTATGTATAGGAATTACCAGAATGGCAAATTGGAATGTATATATCAGCATTCTTCCTTACAGTTTGTTCCCCACCTCCGTAGAATTGAGAGTCTAGATCAGCAGATATTAGTTTAGGGTTATAGTAGAAACCCTCCCTACCCAGCATGCCTGCTTTATTACAATTCCCCAAACCTGCATTCTTATTTTCAGCGCTTTTTGAACTAAGGAAATATTATGTGTGGCAATCATTTTCACTAGCTAGCATGCTTTGTCCCAAATCTGCAGTCAAATCTGAAATCCATTCTTCGCCAGCATTGATGCTTCTGAATGAGATTGACATTGAGGTGTGTTTTCCCACCACCAGGGACATAGAAACTTCCAGGGTTTCTATAGAAGGCTACTCGCATAGAATAAAACCTTGATTCCTATTGGTCAATTTCAGCAACAAATCCAAGATCCTGGAGAAACGCCTGCGTTACTTGTCAGAACACTTCACGTTGAATCTGTATACCAACGTCTGTAGATCTCTCTTTGAAAAGGATAAGCTCCTTTTCTCTTTCATTCTCTGTTCCAATATGCTGTTGTAAGTACTGAAAAAATTGAAAGAAATTTTGATTTGAAGTTGATATATATCATTGATTTGTAGTGTAGTGCGCTATACTAATCATAAACCACACTGATGTGATGACTTCTTAACTTCTTAACTAGGCTTGCCTTTGCTTCATATACTAACCCTAGCCACATTCATCTTAATTACCGTAGCATACTAAACAAATGAGAGTGGTGGACTTTACTTGTTTTAGTGTCAGTTTAAATTTTATGCATTTTGTCAATTTTATTGTACCACCAGCGTAGGCGCTGGCGGTACACATGGTTTTAGTCCCGACCCGTATGTTCCGCCGGCTCCGCCGGCTCCTGCGGCTCCTGCGGCTCCGCCGCCAAGTCACCGTTACCGCTTCTCCTCCTAGACGGTAAGGGCCTCCATACCCATCTCTTGGATTTAGGTCACCTATAATCTCAACTCGTTCCACGTAAAATTTGGGCTTTGTCCGTATTGGGGTCTAGGTGTGGCACTCATTGCAATGCACCCTTGTCCAAAAATGGCAAAATTAAATGCTAATTATCTCCCCTACAGAAGGAATTATGGGAAAAATTTCTACAGACAGCTTTCCAAAAGTCATATGTGTAGATTTCAAATATGCCCTTGGATTTGACCTTTGACCTTTATTTTAAGGTCAAACAGGCCAAAATTTTCAAAAAAACAAAATTTTTGCCGAAAAAAAAATTATTTGTGGTCTTATTCAGACACCACACAGACTTAACTANATTGAAGTTGAATAGGAAGTCATATACTGGCAATTTACTGTGACCTTGGAATTGACCTTTGACCTACCTTGCGATGAACTTAACTTTGATTGTACCATTTTTAGTAATATATATATTTTTTGCATATTTTGAAAATTCTTGTTGATTGCATTTTTACAGCTTGTCAAGCACAAGACTGGTGGCTGTGTTCCTTATTTTGTATATGTGGGGGTCTATATGAATGCGCTTGCTCCAGCTGGTGGTACAATATTCGGAGGCGGTATCGCCTCTCTGATCCTCTAGTTCAAAGTGGAAACAGTTGCAAGTAGTGTTTATTTACCTAATTCATAACAATTTCTATTCGTGTGTGGGTTGGTAATCATTAAATAATCATATTTTTAGTACAACAGTTTGTCTCATGTAACATTCATAAAATTATATGTTTGATATTTATGTGTTTTCTTTACATTGTGTGTTTTTAACCTAACATTTTTAAGAACCTTTTAAGACAATCTGTATTTTATTTCATTCCTTTTCATCACAAAATTAAAATATTCAAACAATGAAATTGTACAAAAAAACTGATTTGGTTAGATTAATTTTTGTTAAATTTATATTTCAAGTGGAAAATAATATCTAAAATGACCAAAAACAAAAGGTTCAAATAGGTGGTAATCAAAGTGAACCAGATTGATGTGAAGACCTTGAACTTTTGACCTAGACCTTGACCTATTGACCTCATTTCTATATTTAGAGCCAAGAATGACCTTGACTATGATGAGTTCATGTTCCTCCTTACTGGAGGTGTGGGCTTGGAGAACAAACTCCAGAACCCTGACAAGTCGTGGCTGTCTGACAAATCCTGGGATGAGTTATGTCGTCTTTGTGACCTACCCTCCTTCAAGGGATTTAGGTAAGCCCTGCACCAGTATGAGTAATGATGGCAAAAGTTGGAAGTTGGTGGTTTCAAATTGATTAAAATTTATATCTTTAAGTCACATACTGTAATGATTTAATGAGTATCATGTAATGGTTGAATTGTTCCTAGAAATTCCAGCAAGTATGAAGAAGTGTTTTCGTTATATGTGAAATTTCACTCTGTTCTCAGGGAGAGTTTCACGGGGGCTATAGAAGACTGGCGCAAGTACTATGAGAGCAAGGAACCCCACAACACCCCGCTACCCGAACCCTGGCAGTCCAAACTGACGGAGTTCCAGAGGATGATGGTCCTCAGGTGTATCAGGCCAGATAAGGTTAGTACGATAAATTTGTTCTATTTTTATTTGGATATATGCGATAAAAACAAATGCATACAGCAAGTTTCCATGTCATTTATTTTGTTTAGAAGGTAACTCTTTTAACTATATATGATGGGAGATGAACTTCATTATTTCAACCTTTTGACTTGTTATATTTTGGATCTCTTCTATTTTATTTGCTACAATTGTTTTGTCATCTGGCTCCTTTTATTTCAAATTTTTTATATTCTAATTCCCTTCATAGATCAACATTGTGTAAGATCACATGATGAAGTTGAATGTGAAAATGTGGTAGTTATCCAGTTGTAGGGAACACAATCAACCCCACTCAACGTGCCAGCCATGTGAGCTGGCCATTGTGCTAGTTGAGATATGTTGCATCTCATCCACATCAATCCATTCATCTCATTCATATCTCTTCTTCAGATTGTACCTGCCGTGACCAAATTTGTGATTGAAAAACTTGGGCCCAAATTCGTTGAGCCACCTCCTTTCAATCTGGCAAAGAGTTACCAAGATTCCAATTCGTGTGCACCACTGATTTTCGTGCTTTCGCCTGGTGCTGATCCCACCATGGCCTTGCTGAAGTTTGCAGAGGACAAAGGTTTTGGAGGAAATAAACTGGATTCCATCTCTCTGGGCCAGGGACAGGTGAGGCTGGGAAGAAAACTTTTGCCAATTTTTTTTTTCTTTTTATTTCTTTTCCCCTAATTCATTTGACACTTTTATTTTCATACTGTACTAGTAGCTATTCACAGCAAGAGAAAATGGATGGATAAAACTGATGAAAATAACATTAAGGTTTTTTTTTTTTTTTGCAAATGACATTTTTAATTTTTAAAGAAAAAAAAAGGAGGAGGCACATTACATTGTATTTGTTAAATGCCTAGTGAAACTGATGAAGTATTGTTCCAATTTGTCGTTTGAACTCCAATTTTTTTATCAAAAAATCATAAATGTTTAAAAACCTGTAAATGCATTGATCTGTAACTTCAGGGACCCATAGCTGCCAGGATGATAGAACGCGCCAAGGCAGACGGCTGCTGGGTCTTGCTGCAGAACTGCCATCTGGCGGTGTCCTGGATGACGCAGCTGGAGAAGATATGCGAGGAACTGGTTCCTGAGAACACCAGTCCTGACTTCCGCCTCTGGCTCACCAGTTATCCCTCTGCCAAGGTGGGTATACACACACTGTGCTTGGTGCTTGGTATCTAAAAAAAGAACATTAAAAAAAAAAAAACATGGAAGTATTTCTTTCCATGTGAAGTCGATTTTTAATCTGTTTCCTATGACATATTGTTTTTTCGCATTTCTTTTACGGTATATATTTTCTCACCTGCCTTTCATTTCCCCTGTGACTATATTTTCTCTATATTTTCTCACCTGTCCTCCAGTTCCCTGTGACAGTATTACAGAATGGTGTCAAGATGACCAATGAGCCCCCTACAGGACTGAGACAGAACTTGCTGCAGTCGTACCTCAACGATCCCATCTCTGACCCTGAGTTCTTCAGCGGCTGTCCAGGGAAGGAATCTGTAAGTTGAATGGGAATTAAAGCAAATGAAAAAAATGATATAGTTATGGATTTTTTGTTAATTGTTATTTTATGAACAAGACTGCCCTATTTAGCCTTTTGATTAATATTATTGATGCCTTATATGGCACAAAAAAACAGAACTGTCTATTTTCTAAAAAAAATATTTAAGGCAGTCAATTGAATGACTTTTAAGAATTATCTCTCAACCAATGTTTCTTATCATGAAAGTTGATATCCTTTTTCTAACTGATTCTTTCCTTTTTCTCCAGACCTTTGAGAAGCTGCTGTATGGGCTGTGTTTCTTCCATGCTCTGGTCCAGGAGAGGAGGAAGTTTGGTCCCCTGGGGTGGAACATTGCCTATGGCTTCAATGAGTCTGACCTCAGGATATCTGTTAGGCAGCTACAGGTACGTCACAGTCACACAGGTGTCTTGGCAGAGTTAGCAACATGAGAATAGTCAGAATGTATGTATTGTCTAATATCTTATTTACATCAGATCTACCACCTGTAAACAATGTCCTAAATAATACACAGAATATGAGTAGATGAATTAGATGGGTAACTGTCTTTGCCGAGGAAAATTTGACCTAAAAAGACAATATTGGTAGCTGTATTTTACACCCGAACCTACTTGTCTGCACATGGGCACAGGTGTTTGTCTCAAGTTGAAATTTTTTCTAAACACTTGGTTTTAAAATCCTCATTTCTGTCTGCATGTCTGCCCGTGTGCGAGCATATTGTATGTGTGTGTGCATCATGAGGTTACATCCTTTCGCACACTTCTCTAACAATATTCCAGATGTACATCAATGAGTACGACGAGGTGCCGTACGAGGCCATATCTTACCTGACAGGTGAGTGTAACTATGGCGGCAGGGTGACGGACGACAAGGACAGGAGAACCCTAAACACCATCCTGGCCGACTTCTACAACCCTCTGGTTCTAGAAGACCCCAAGTACAAGTTTTCTCCCAGTGGAATCTACATCCTACCACCCAAAGGAGACTATGACAGCTACCTGGAGTTTATCAAGGTAAGTTATGGGGACTCTCTGTCCACAGGGACCACTGGTAGTCTGGGTACAAAATGTTTGCATCTGACCCTGGGAGGAGAGTGAGGGTTTAGCCATGTGAAGTCTCACTTAGGATTGCACTTCTGAATCATGGCAGTTAGTCATATGTGTAAATCAATAGGTGTTTTTTGGTTCTTTACAGGGATAAAGCATACCTGAAATACGTCAGATTTATATATTGATTTGTTTGTCAAAAGAATCATATATATTTTTTTCCTGTATATGTAAAGGTTTCTAGAGTCAGTTTATTTTGTGTACTCATACTGATGTCTTCTGAACCTGCCCCTTTTGTTGTCCATTGAATCCATCTAGCCACCATAATAATTTGATTTGTTCAATTCAACATACTAAAATATCATCACAATACGCAATCCCTCAGTCCTTCTCAAAGTGATTTTCCTTCAGTGGGAGAACAAAAGTACTTACGACTATCAAGCAACTGGTATCTCAGATATCTCCAGAAATGTAATTGAATTTTTTATCTTCGTTTTCATGCTTCATTTCTTCTCCAGTCTGCCCTAGATCTTTGAGATATTTATGACCAAGATTCAATTAAGCCTCCCCAGAGGAAAAGCTCCCATTTCCTTATTATACCTCATGTTTGGCAAAAGTCGATATCTTATTTACCATGAGAGTTGCTAGTGCATGACTACTACTAAGGGCACTTTTTATATTAATGATATTTTTGGGCTAATATGATAGCAGAATTTTACTTGTACAGGTATTGATTGATTTATAATTATTATTATTATGCTTGTGGCTTTATGATGTTGAGTAAAAAATTATATATTTTCCTTTTTTTTTAAATTTTTTTGTAAATTGTTAATTAGAATAAGATGTGGTCAAGAAAAATTTCTTAACTAATGCAGCAATTTGCCTCAATTTTTTTTTTTTTTTTATTCATTTATGATCCCTTTCCTCACAGGCGTTACCGCAGAGCCAGTCCCCAGAAGTATTTGGCATGCACGACAACGTGGACATCTCGCGTGAGCTCCAGGAGACCAAGGACATGTTTGACTCCGTCCTGCTTACCCTGGGGAGTAGCGGAGGGGGTGGGGGCGGGAAGAGCGACTCACAGCTGGCAGACATAGCAGAGGATATCTTGAAGAAGGCATGTATTCACTCACTGTTCCTAGTACATTGTGTTAGGCAGTATAGGGCACCTGTTGATGTAGGGGAATAAATATTTTTTAAAAATTAGGTCTTTGTTAAAATAAAGAGACAGTGTTGAAGATTATTTGTATTATTTACTTATTTGTTTGTTTTCTTTATTAGAAATTGATTTATGTTGTTGCTGTTATTATTGTCAGCATCAAAATTGTAAGTTATTAAGACAGTAGAATTAGGTATAATATTGTGTAACAGCTACACGGAAAGTGGTGACCTCAGTGAATATAGGTATAGCAGACATTTAATGTTATTAGGTAATAACTTCCTGATACATGCATATATTCACAATAATTTAAGACTGGATTCATTAAATCACATACATGATTGCCTGCCAAGGTTTCTTGCACTTTGCGTTGATTGAAAACCATCACCAATATATCAGCTTATTGTAATCATAGCCTGTTAATTGTGATGAGCCCCTGGGAATATGCATAAACTGATGCCTAGATGTTTGTATTCCGAATGAAATTTGTAGTTGGTGCACAGAATGGCAAATTCTGTATTTAGTAGAAATGCATATTCAATTTTCATATAGTTTATGACAAAATTATTTGATGTCTTTTTCGTCAATTCCTTTTACGTACATGTTACATAAAATATATAATATATTGCAAGCACAAAGACCATATCAAACTACAGAAATTAATATTTCAGACAGATGACTTACAGTATTTATAAGATATTGGAGACCCGTGGGAAGATAATTATATCTTGTTATTTACTTTTCCCCATCCCCTGGGGAGCAGCAGGCCATGTTTCTGTCTCTCATTGCACTGTAGATGATAAAGATTGCCATGATATTGATTTTACAATTATTTTCAGCTAGTTACCTTTATGTCTTTTTAAATCTGATATAAATAAAGTGGTCAAGTACATATTGGCATAATTGGTCTTATAATTTTCCCATTTTCTTTTTTATTCCAGCTTCCGAAGAATTTTGACCTGGAAGTGGCGTCAAAGAAGTACCCAGTAACGTACAACGAGAGCATGAACACTGTCCTCACACAGGAGATGGAGAGATTCAACAAGTGAGTTAACTAGGTCAAGGTCATGTCAAGGTCGTGTCAAGGTCATGGCCAGGGTTGCCAGGGTGACAGGAATGGTAGTTCTGGACACGATAGTCTGGGAACACATGTAGTTTAAGTACAGGTTAGGGTTAGCCAGGATATTTTTGTTAGTATATGGGGCAAAAGTCACCTGTACCAGTACATGGTAAAGGGAAATAGACTACAATCCCTAGTGGACTATCATTCCTGTCACACTGGCAATAATGTTGTGCTTAGAGCAAACAGGTACAAGGTTTATGAACCCATTTTATTAACTATATTAGAAAAACATCTTCTCACAAAATGAAATGAATGTTATGTAATGTGAAGAAAAGCAAAGAGTTAAAGGGGGGGGGTTAATAATGTAACTATAGCCACTGTAATATAAGGCTTAGAAACACTGCTGTTTAATACGGATCCTCTTTATCCTCTTTAACCAAAGAAGGAAAGCAAATATATTAACAATAAATAAAAAAAAATTATGAAACTTCCATCACTCTCCCGGTTTTGTCTCTGTCCAGGTTGCTGACCATCATCCGCACCAGTCTGATCAACACACAGAAGGCCATCAAAGGACTGGTTGTGATGAATGCCGAGCTGGAGGCCCTGGCGCATAGCCTGCTCATTGGCAAACAGCCGGCCATGTGGCAGAAGAGGTCCTACCCCTCCCTGAAACCTCTGGGAAGCTACATCAATGATTTCCTGGAAAGGCTCAAATTTTTACAGGTAAGGGATTAGATAGTGCCAGGCTCTGCACAGAGCTAATTGGCAATTGTTTCTGAAGATATCTGTAGTTTTTACCAGCCATAGTATAATTACATTTATTTATTTATTTATTTATTTATTTATTTATTTATTTATTTATTTTTATGCATATTTCAGAGAACATCAGCAAAAAAAAAAAAAAAAAAAAAAAAAAAAAAAATCAACGGTGTTTTGTAGCTCAAGCTGGTCTGTGAGTCAGCAATATGCAAAAAAGAGGCAAATCCCTCCAAGTTATTAATCCTACCAGCTGTATAGAATGACTCGGGGCTTAAATTCCCACCCTCCCTGCCTTTTTTATGCACCATTAACATGTCAATGGCTCCCGAAACTTTTTTTACAGCAGTTAGGAGCTTGTTAGCATAGTCTGTGAAAATTTATATCAGTTTTAATACTAACAGTGTAAAATATGATGCATTAATTATGGTCATGCCATCCAGGTAATCAATTTTAAACATAGGAAGTGTGTTATCTTGATTTGGTGTAAAAAATTCCTGAGCTCTAAGATAACCCTTCTTAAGCTGAGCACAGAGTTAGGTCTCATTGTTCCAGTGGTGGTACTCCACAGGTAGTGGGCCCTGGCATTCGTGGCAGGGTTTAATCAGGATTACAGCTGGCTTAATGCAGAGCTGATCTAATCTTTTCTGCCCGGGAATTTGTCACATTGTCTAAGGAGACAAGTACGCAGAATGATCAGAAAACAGATGATAATATTAATCATAACTATTGTTTTGATATAAATTTTATTCGGCTCAATTTAGTCTCCCTGTGCTGGTGTACGCTCTTTTATTACATTGTGATATAATAGCATGTAATTGTTACATTACACATTATACAAAGGTATATTTCCTTATATATAAGAGTAGCTGTTCAAAAATGAACAATTAAGTAAGGTGCAGAGGACAATCGTAATTACAGTTTTGATTATTGCTAGGTCCAATTAATAATAAAAGTGAATTATCCTAACTAGGGCACCTGTAACCCACCAGGAGTGGACTAAATTGGTCCACTTCATATTAATTACTTTATTAACAACCCTTTCTTTACTCAGGATTATACATGCAAAGTTAATGTCTGACAAAATTATAGAAGTTTGGGATTATCTGTATTTGTCCCTTCCTCTGAACAACAATGTATTAATAAGTACATCATGTACAGTAAAGTCCTATAAGTAAAATCATTGATTTATCCTGCTAAATAGCCAATAGTCAGTATTATGATTCAGTTATCAGTGATTACGTGAAGTTAAGTGTCTTTTTATAAGCAGCAAAGCTTACAGTAAGCTGGTTTTAATGAAACAAAACTTTCCATGAAGATGACTAAATTTGTAAATCAAGAGAGGTAAAGTGTTGACAGTCGATGTTTTGGTCAGCAAGAAATATATACAACATTTTAATTTTAAGGGGAAAAAAACAAAATTATCTGGGAACTTTTTGAAAAACCTTTTTTTTATGTGTAAAAGCATTTTATCTCAAAATTCTGATTAGGTAAAAAAACTTCCAGCTGTTTGCACTTAAACTGTTCGTGCTTAGACCTACGTCATTGATGGAAGTTTTACCTCACATAGACTGTCTTCTTACAGATTATAAGTTGTATGGCTGCAGTGTCTGTGAAATAGCTCACACATTACGTAACTCCCCTGTCATGGTGGAAAATAACCACTCAATAACGTAATAGGAGTCTTGGCTTATTTTCGGCAACAAAATGA